GGAACAGAGAACAAGGCAAGGAAAGTATGCCTGGGGACATGGTGACTTGCAGGACGACCACTGGTTCACAAACTGCCCCGCCCCCAGCCCCCTAGCACTGAAGGCAGGGAGGAACCAACGGAAGAGGGGGGCTGCTCCATATCATGGCCGGGGGGCACATTTAATATACATGGGAGCTTCCATCTGAGGCTGGTCCTGGGAGGCCACAAGACAAGTGGATTTGCACACTGCCTGCTGGCTCTCAGAAGTTTGCTGAAGGCCTCAGTGGGGTTCAGTCACACATTCAGGGCAGATGATCTCCAGGTCTCCCTGTCTGCAGGCTGCGTCCCTGAGAGCAGCTTAGGCCGTGGGAATGGTAGACAGGATGAATGCTGCATGGCTGAGGAAGAGGCCAGGAGCTTTCATCCTTATTCCCTGATGTTTTCAGGGTTTAAAACAGTGCCTGGCACCTAAGAAGTTTTTCAAAAGACATCGGTTAAATCAGTGAAGTGTGTCTGAAGGTTCTAGTTCCAGTTCTGCCACTGACCAATTCTGTGATCTTAGAGAAGTCATTTCCTCTCCCACAGCATTAGTTTAAAGAAAAAAAAAAGTAGGGGCACCTGGGTGGCCCAGTCAATGAGGCGTCTGCCTTCAGCTCAGGTCGTGATCCCAGGGTCCTGGGATGGAGTCCCTGCATTGGGCTCCCTGCTCAGCAGGAGTTTGCTTCTCCCTTTGCCCCTCTCCCCCTACTCACACTCTATCTGTCTCTCAAATAAAAAAACAAAAACTTTTAAAAATAATAAAAATAAAAAAATAAAGTAAAAAAGCATTCAACCAGATAATCCTTTTCAGTACATCAATATTGATTTTATGTATGCCAGGAACCATAACACAAGGCAAAATGGGATGTCATAAATCAGAGTGCAGTGGATAACTCACCATTTCTTGTCTGCCAGCATCTTTTGAATATCCTTCTTCTGTTTAGAGGATTTACCATCTTGAGTCCTGTCTCTACCAAAAGGAAACTAAAAGCTCACTTACCCAGCCTTCCTTTCAGTTGGGAACCAGCCCTATGATGCAGGTCCTGCCTGTGAGATACACCTTCAAGAAATTCTTTAAACGGCAAGGAATATGAGGCAATAGGTATGTTGTCCTGGTTGCATTTTTTGGTGGGGAGGCTGCAGGAGCGGAGTCCCCAGATGGGGGGAGTCTGTGTTGTGCGGCACGATTTGTGGAGTATGGAAGGGAAAGAGGAAAACGTGTTCCACTGTGGAGAAGAGCGAGGCTTTGTGAATATCACAGCCTTGATCCAAACCCTACTGCCACTTACCAGCTGGGCCCTTGAAACAATTGCATAACCTCTTGAACCCCAGTTTCACCATCTTGAAAGTGGTCTTTATCCAAGGTCACTCACAGCTGCTGAAAGTAGGAGTCTTTAGCTTCTAGGATTACTCCGGGACGTCTGTTGCTGTGTTTTGCCTCTAGATCACTTGGTCGATGTGAGCCTTGAAATTATGGGTAAAATTAGTTTAATTTACAGAGTTGGTTGAAGATAAAACACTGAGATATAACACCAGTAAGAGAAAAAAAGTCAACTAACACAAGGCAATCTTTTCCAGACGTATCCACAGGCCCAAGGACATTACTATTCAGTTGATTCTTTTTTTTTATTATTATTTTTTTTTTTAATTTTTTTTATTTATTTATGATAGTCACACAGTGAGAGAGAGGCAGAGACATAGGCAGAGGGAGAAGCAGGTTCCATGCACCAGGAGCCTGACGTGGGATTCGATCCCGGGTCTCCAGGATCGCGCCCTGGGCCAAAGGCAAGCGCCAAACCACTGCGCCACCCAGGGATCCCTATTCAGTTGATTCTTGGTTTCAACTCAGGTTGTGATATCCTGGTGGTGGATCTAGTAGCCCTGAATTAGGCTCTGTGCTCAGTGGGGAGTCTGCTTGAGATTCTCTCCGTCTCCCCACCCATCCCATCCACTCTCTCTCTTTCTCTAGGGAGGGTAAATAAATCTTTAAAAAAATAATTTTTTAAAAAGATTTTATTTGAGAGAGATAGCAAGAGAAAAAGCACAAGCAGTAGTAAGAAGGAGAAGCAGACTCCCCACTGAGCACGGAGCCCAACATGGGACTGTAGCCCAGAACCCTGAGATCATGACCTGAGCCAAAGGCAGACACTTCACCAACTGGACACATCACCAACTGAGCCACTCAGGTGCCCCAATAAATCTTAAAAAAAAAAAAAAAAGCTAATGGGCAGAAAGTTTCATTTGAAAATTGGTTCAAATACCTAGAGTTGGGGATCCCTGGGTGGCTCAGCAGTTTGGCACCTGCCTTTGGCCCAGGGCGCGATCCTGGAGTCCCGGGATCGAGTCCCACGTCGGGTTCCTGGCATGGAGCCTGCTTCTCCCTCCTCCTGTGTCTCTGCCTCTCTCTCTCTCTTTCTCTAGGTTTATCATAAATAAATAAATCTTTAAAAAACAAAACAAAACAAAAACCACAAAAAAAACCAAATACCTAGAGTTCACAGAAACTCTCAGAAGCATAGGAGCTCCTAAGTACTTATGAAATTAAAGAAATAAACTCTTTCCTATGCAATTCCTCATCACCTGGAAATAAAGCCGTAAGAAACTCACAAGGAAGCCAGCAAACTGGTCTTCAACCATCCTCTTTTTCCAGCTATCCCCCCCTGACTTCTCCTACCAGGTGGGGAAGCAGTCTTATGAGTTTTTCAAGTGTTACACTGCTGCCATGTATTTAATCTCTTCAAGTTTGTATTTCCTATTCCTGCCTCCTAAATATGGGTATTTCCTGAGGCGTAGGCCTTGGCCTTCTGCTCTTCTCTATAAATACTTTCTCCTTTGGAAAGATCATATACACTGATGGTTTCAACTGTTGTTTCTTCACGGATGACTCATACACTTACATATTTAGGCATAACCTCTCTTTTCTCCAGCGTTAGTCCTGTATTCCTAATATGCCCTTTCAAATTCTACAGATCTTTTGGAGCATGGAGTTCATTTCTGCTTCAAAATCAATTCGCCCTAGGGGGCGCATGGGTGGCTCAGTGGTTTAAGCCTCCTACTCTTGGTTTCCGCTCAGGTCCTGATCTCAGGGTTGTGGGATCCAGCTGTCAGCTCTGTGCTTGACGGAGTTGGCTTGGGATTCTCTCTCTCTCTCTCTCTCTCTCTCTCTCTGCCCCTCCCCCATTCGCACTTTCTCTCTCCCAAGTAAATAAATTTTTTTTAAAGATTTTATTTATTTATTCATGAGAGGCAGAGACATAGGCAGAGGGATGCAGGGACTCGATCCCAGGACCCCAGGATCACCAACTGAGCCAAAGGCAAATGTTTGACCACTGAGCCACCCACGTGCCCAAAGAAATAAATCTTTAGGGCAGCCTGGGTGGTTCAGCGGTTTAGTGCTGCCTTCAGCCCAGGGTGTGATCCTGGAGACCCGGGACGGGTCCCACATCAGGCTCCCTGCATGGAGTCTGCTTCTCCCTCTGCCTGTGTCTCTTCCTATGTGTGTGTGTGTGTGTGTGTCTCATGAATGAATAAATAAAATCTTTTAAAAAAACTTTAAATAAATAAAACCAACGCACCCTATGGCTATCCCATCTCAGTTCCAATTTCCCAGGCTTACAGGGCTGCAGTCTTCCCTGACTCCTTCTAATCCTTTCCCCCCACCATCCACTCTGTTACTAAGGAGTGTGCTACTCAGTTATTGTAACCTTGCTGTTTACCTTCTCACCTTTACTACCCAACATGGAGACTACCAGAGCTCCTCCTCCCTACTGTCCTATTCGCCCTGGCTGGGTCAGTGTTTCTAAAACATGGCTTGGAATGTCCACAGCTCCACATCAATTCCACATTCACTGAGTTCTCCCTTTGTGGAAAGCATGATGTGACACATTCTAGGATGCAGAAATGATGGTCTGCTTACAGTCTATTGGGGGAAGAGTTGTACACAATTTTAGTTCAAAAATAGAAAGCAGTACTAACTGAATGAATGAATGCATGAAGAATGGCCCAGAAAACTATAATGGACATTCGGTAGGAAAGACAACTTATTTCTAGTTGGAGAGGCCACTTGATCTGACTTTAAAGGACAGAATTTTAACATCTTAAGAAGATGGGGCAGGAAGGCAACTCCAAAGAGAAAGGAGGAGCACGCTCTAGGAAGGTAACGGTAACTCGTGCAGGAGGTGCTTCACACCGTCTGGCCACCCCACGGGAAGGGAGGAAGGGGGACAGCAGAAAATAAGAGTTTTGAATCCAAGTTAATCAATGTGGCCGTGAGCCTACAGGTGCAGATTTCTGATCACCGCTGCGCTGACAGCTGGCAAGCCGGGGATGCTGCAGGAAGGACATCTGAGCGGAAAGCAGCGCGCCTGCTCTGTTCAGGGGATGCTGAGACCCGCCTGGGGGAGGTGCAGGCAGCGGGTACGCAGAGGGCACGGACGCCAGATTCCTGCACAGGCGGACTCGACAGAACTGGACCACGGGGGGTGGGGGGTGGGTGGGCAGTAAACGGAGAGGGGTGGAATGGCGTCAATTAGGGGCCTCCGGGCTTCCAGGGGGGCTGGCGGGCGTGCCAACAAGAGGCGGCGCACCGTTTGGGAATCCCGCGCCGGTCCGCCCGCCCAGGGCAGCTGAGCGCCGACCGATCCATCCGACACTTTCCTCCGCGGCCGGCCGGGCTGGAAGCCCTGAGCCCGTGCCCGCCACCACCGCCGCCCTCTTCCTGAACGCCTGTGCCCTCTCGTCCCCACCGGTCCCCGGCGCCCAGCCAGGGGGCACCGCGCACACACACACACACACACACACACACCCCGACGCCGTGTCCCGCCCGGGGGGCGCAGGCTGAGGGCGCACACAGGGCATCGCCCCTCCCGCCAGCCGCCAGCCACACTCGGCACGCAGCCCCCTCCCGCCCTCCAAAGACGCGGAAGGACTCGCACTGCGCGCCCGTGATCTCGCGAGACCTGGCAGGCCCGCCCCCGCGCTTGCCCGCCGGAAGCGGAAGTCGGGCGAATGTCGGCCTGCCGCCGGAGTGGCTCCGTTTCCTTGGAGAGCTGAAGTAGTGGCGGATCCTTTGGCCGCGGTGTGGGCCAGAGGTGGGTGCTCCTGCGAGTGCGGCGGGCCGGCTGCCCGAGGGGGGCCGCGGGGAGCCGAAGGGCCGCACGGAGAGGGGACCCCTCGGCCTGCGCCTGCCCTGGCGTCTGGGACGCGGAGGCGCTCCGGGAGGGAGCGGCCGGGCCGGGCCCTGGGGGCGGCCTGGGGCGTCTCCAGGGCAGCGGTGTCCGGCGTCGGTCGCCCGCACCAGAGTTGCGTGCGGTATGACTTATAAACTAGAAGTGCTGCGGGACGAGTCCGGAGGGTTGAGCCCTTCCTCCTCCCCTTCCACAGAGAGAACGTGCCCGGTTCCCCTCGGCGCTCCGAGGGGCGTGCTGGTTCGGAAGGCCCCGCGGGGCACCGAGATCCAGCCACCGGCCCCCCCCCGACCCCACACACCTATTGAGGGTTTCCTTCAAGGGAATCAAGTGGGTTTTTTTCTCTCCCACAGATCGAAACAACATAAACATTACACGTTGCAGCTGCCTCAGATTGCTGGGGTGAGTAAAGCTCAGATCCGCCAGAATTCTGTTTAAATCTCATTCTCACTGATGAGCTGATGAAGGTGTCTGTTCACTTGCGGGACGGCATCGCGGAGAACATGTAACAACAGAGGAGCATTGTTGCGTGCCTTATACTCTTCGTTCCCGTCGGGGGTGGGGGGATATGGATCGTCCTTGTGCAGATTCCTGGGATTCTTCTAGATCCTGGCACGATCTTCCTTAGCTGAATTTATGACCCATCATCTCTTGGCTTTGAGGGTTTGACATCAGTTTGCCGATCCTGGACACCCTGAAAGCCTGAGGGCAGTAGCCTCAAGGAGAAAATTTCTGGGTAGTGCTTCTTGCATCCACACAATACTCCTGGTTTAGTTTTGTTGGGACGAGGGCAAGAGTATAAATATTGGCCTATGTTTTGAGGGATTTGGAGGAAAAACTAATGAAGAAGCTGTCTTTGGCCATCATGTGTCTTTGTCAAAGGCTTTTACTGTAAATTGAAGTAATATGGGAAGAAAAATAATTTTAGGATGTCAGACAGGAGGGAAAGATTTGGTTTTAAAGTTTTAGTGTGATGATACATATGTCCCAAATCAGAACATAGGCTTTAGGAGTCTTGAGGCAGAGAGCAGAAAGATGAAGTTTGGGTTAGGAGAGGCAGGGATGGAAGCACTGACGGCTGCTTGGCCAGGGCAGATGAGGGGGCCTGGGGTGGGGGGGCTGCCTACAGAGTCCTGGTTGAGCTGGCTTCCAGGTCCTAGATAAAGATGAAGTGAGTGAATTCTCTGTTCCCTGGCTTCTCAAGGATGAGGCCTCTTGTAGCCTAAGCCACGTATTTCTCTCTCAGGATGTGGGTGCAGAAATACTACCTGAATGAATCCATACTTGGCCTGGGGAACCCAGCTGAGAATAGGTTTCAGGGTGTTTTTCGCCCTTAGACAGTATCTGTAGTTATTTTGTTTTTTTGTTACAGAGTACATTGGATGCCTTTAAAGTACCCTCAACTTCAGTAGCTAGTAGCTGTTCATTTAAATGTCTATTTGCCTTTCCATTTTCATGTCTCCTGTATTTTCAGTCTTTTTTACTGGTTTTCTTTTTCTATAAACAACCTCAGGCACACTGTCCTGGGAAAAACTGGAGATAATCTCCCAGTAACCCCTTGGCTCCTGCCTTTTTTTCCCCTCATGTTCAGCAAAGCTTCTTGAAAGCCTAGTCTGTAATCTGTAGATTTCTACTTCTTACCTTCCAGTTACTTCTCAATGAACTACAGTCCTGCTTCAATCCCTAGTACTCTAAAATAATCACCTCCTAATGGCTAACTCTAATTAATTTTCTCTTCTTGGTTCTATCATTGTGCCATTTAACACAGAGGACCCTACTATCCTCTTGCCTTCTGTGGGGAGCTCTCCTGGTTCTTATTTGTGTGTGTTGTTTTCCCCCTTCTTTATCTCCAGCTTCCTCATAGGTCCGTGTTCAGGATTCTGTTCCTTCATACTCTTCTCATTCCGCATTCTTCCTGAGGAATCTCATCCATTCTTATAGCATTAGCCACCAACAAATTGCCTATGTTGCCCACATTTATCATCACCCGAGTCCTCAGTTCCAGATAGGTAACTTGGAGTCGGCTCTCCATGTGGATGGACAGACCATAACTAACTTCAGATAGTATCCTGGCCCACGCTTTCTGTGGTACCTATGGCACCGCAGCACATCCAGTTATTTGGCTAGAAGCCTGGAAGTTATCCTTTATTCTCCTCTCTTCTCCCAATATTGAATTAGTGGTTAATGTCTCCTGGAGTTCTTGGAAAACTGTGCTCAGTGTTATTGCTGCAGATTGAGCCCTCCAGTACCACAGTAATCTGCCTTTGGTGTGTCCTCACTAATCTCTTCTCTACCTGTTAGAAGAAAAGTGGTCCTTACTGATAGTTTGCTTTTTAGGTTTCTCTGCTTAAACCACTTAGGTTTAGGACTCCCCCTTGCCTACCAGGATAAGTGCAGAGTTGTTTACATTGAACACAGTTTTTCACAGTTCAGTCCCTGCCTATTTTTCCAGCTTTGTTTCTTTCTTTCTTTTTTTTTTTAAGATTTTATTCATTCATGAGACACACAGAGAGAGAGAGATAGAAAGAGAGAGGCAGAGACACAGGCAGAGGGAGAAGCAGGCTCCACGCAGGTTGCTGGACACGGGACTCAATCCCTGGTCTCCAGGATCACGCCCTGGGCGGAAGGCAGCACTAAACCGCTGAGCCACCTGGGCTGCCCTCCAGCTTTGTTTCTTGACATTCACTGTTTCTCTCTTCGTATTTACACCGCATCTGTCTCAGACTAGACTGAGAGCTCTTTGGGGATAGAGACCATGACCTATTTTTTTTTTTTTTTTGAGACCATGACCTATTGTTCACCTTTGTATCCCAGGCACCAGTTAGCACAATGCATATATTACAGAAATATTACAGAAATACTGAATTGAATGTTTAAAACCATTTTAAGTTTAAAAGTATACAAAGACTTTTATGAATACCTTGCCTAAAATTAGTCATTTCTTAGTTTTTCACTGCCTGGTGACACAGTCTTGTTTTTTTTAGAATTCTCATAGAAACATTAAAAACTGTACAGAATTTCAGAATGACAGACACTTCTGAAGCTGTTCCCAATTTTGAAGAGATGTTTGCCAGTAGATTCACAGAAGATGACAAAGAGTACCAGGAATACCTGAAACGCCCTCCTGAGTCCCCTCCAATCATTGAGGAATGGAATAGCAGAGCTGGTGGGAACCAGAGAAACAGAGGCAATCGGTATGTATTACTCAGGAGACATGCAGATACCTGATGTGGGAGAGGACAGCTTTAATCCGTGAGCCCATAAGGCCAGTGAGGGCAGGGACCAGTGTTTCTGTTAGGTATAGTATACCTCGTGCCTGGTACCTGCCTACACACAGTGAGTGGCTGATACATTTTGCTTTAATATTTTGTCAGCACTGTTTATTTTTTTCCTTGTTCAATTGTGTATGTGTTTTAATGTTCTTTCTTAAAATGTTTCTTCTGTGGACTAACATTTTATTTTCTCTGCAAATATGCTATATGGATTCCATAAAGAAGGCATTGTCTTTGGTTTTACTTTAGAAAGAAAGTTATACAACGGAAATTTCATCTATTTAATAATTCAAAGTAGATAAAAGGAATAAATGACCATACTGTTTTTGTACAATCAAATAGAATTGTTTGATTCAAAACTATCATTTTGTGGGTTTTGTGTTGTGATCTTCCTATTTCTCTGCAAAGTGTATCCAGTATAATACTGGAAGAATGATTTAAATCTTAGGGAAGTTTTGAACAACTGGGGCTGTATATAACATTCTGCATAGAAAAATGTTTTTTACTCTCTTATTTACAGAGTATTAGACTGAGAAATAAAATGCACTGGAATAGATTTGTCATTTGTGTTACTTAAAAGAGGAAGTATAAAAATCTCTTTGTTTTGTTGTTATAGGTTGCAAGATAACAGACAGTTCAGAGGTAGGGATAGCAGACGGGGGTGGCCAAGTGACAATCGATCCAATCAGTGGCATGGACGATCCTGGGGTAGCAATTACCCACAGCACAGACAAGAACCTTACTACCCCCACCAGTATGGACACTATGGTTACAACCAGCGGCCTCCCTATGGTTACTATTGATGGAATGTCAGGAGCTCTTGGTAAAACCATTTCATCTGTTAACATGACAAAAGTTTGTATCTTCTGTTGGTCATAGTTTTACATGATTTTAGAGAATGGATTATTAACTTTTTGGGACTGTGACTTAAAAAAAAAAAAAAAAAAGAAATCTTACCGGAGATGTTATGGTTCAGTATGCCCCTAAAAAGGTTGTGGATTATATTGCCTGACTTCTACCTCAGATTCTTCTGTTTCCTGGCTTAATAGTGCTTTGAATTTGGTGTCTGTTTTCCTTGTTTGACCTCCAGGATTTCTGTCTTTGTTTTACACAGAAATAAAAACTTTAAAGTAGAAAATGCTTGATTCTACTTTGTAAAGTAAGGAAGTATCCATATACTCAGATGTGCTCATTCCTAAATTTTTACAGAGGTTGGTACAGTCAACTCATGAATGTACAACTATGCTTACTTGTATTGTACGTAACATCAGCAGTTAAAGGTAAAACAGTTGTAGATGCTTCTTTTGGCTTTTGTTGTCATGACCGTGGTACTTTATCATTACTTATTCCAGGTATGAGTCAGCTCCACAATCGCTTTGGTCTCTTTTTCAGAGGGATATCAAGAACAAAGTGGTAAACTGAGGAAGGGACCCTCCTCAGTTTCAGTGTCTTGATCTAGTGGTGGTGAGAGTGGGGCACACAGTCATTTCATTGCAAACTGCAAGGCTTTTGCTAACTTAAACGAAGCAGATCAGAATTCACATGTTATACAAAAGTCTGTGTAAATGTTGCCCCTTCCTTTTCTGTAGTATGTATATAATGCTGCATTCTGACTACTGACTTTTCTGGTATTTAATGTACCAATGACTTGTTTGTATGGTATTATATTCACTTCCAAATGTGCACTTTTGCTGCTTCCTCTTGTATAAGTATAGTGATGCTATAACTTCCTTTTAGACTGATCATTTTATTCCAGATCACTTTAATGGCCATTATAATGGTGTAATTCAAATAAAATACAAGATTAAGCAATTTCTCAAGTTTTGGCAGTTAGAGCATCCATTAATATGATGAGCCTTCTGGATTTTTTTTTTTTTTTTTGTACTTTCCATCAAATCTGTTGAAAAGGCTTATTTGGCTTAAGAGTAGTATTAAGAGTAGAAATGTCATCTTAGGGAAAAAGAATATAAAGGCAACTTCCTAAATCTGCCTTCTGCTGCCTTCTCTCTTAGCACTCCACTCTAGGCCTTGAGGTTAACTTCTCCAGGCACTACTTTTCCATGCTTGGGATCCAACTCTCCCTTCCACTCCCCTTCCTGAAGAGCAATCCTTTCAGGTAGCTGTTTGATTGGAAAGGATCTAATAAATCAGGTCTTCACACTAAGAGGTACATAAAATTTTAACAATAAGATAAGGGTTTTCCCTGTACCCCTCTAATTACATCAGTAGGCATAGTGCTGTTACATCTTTATCTTGATACTATAGATAGCCTAGAGAATTAAGAATGGCTTCACTGTACCCCAAGATCTTAAAAATATCTTGTCAACCAATAAAGCACAGTACTGACTTGCTGGGATAGTAGCTGGCCACAGCTTCAGAACAGGATCCTGAAGGTCCTCTGCTGTGCTAGCTACTCGCACTAATTAGGGGGACCCATGGGTACATGGTGCAGGTTGGAGTGAGGGATGGGTCTCAGGAAGCCTCAAGGAAAGGTTATTTTCCTGCAGTATTTAAATATTTTAATACTGATACAGTATGATCACAGATGGCTTGAGTATCAGTCGTACTTGAAAATATAAGAGTCCTTTGAGCATGAATTATTTCTGCATTCTGCATGAGTAGCCTCTGTGGTGGTGGTTTTTTGTTGGTTTTTAAATAGTCACCATTAGACTCCCCCCTATATGCTAAAAACTGAGAGGAAGTAAAAGTCATGGTTTCTGCTTCATGTGGGAAAGACAGTAACATTTTTAAAAAATTAAGGATAATTTAAAAGAAAGTTAAAATAGTGTCAAATGTTACTAACCTCAAATAGTCTGCTGTAATAGCCTAAAGCATTAAGCATAAGGAGTCCTGGCTTCCACTCCTGTCCTTACTAAGTGTATGACCTTGAGAAAAATTAGTTAAACATGGAGCTTATTTGCTCTCCTGTAAAAATGAGGCTAATACTCACCCTGCCAGTCAGGGTCCTGATAAACCTAAGTGACCAAACATACAAGTGCTTACGATAGAAACTAGAGCTTCTATTAACCCCCCAGTGGCACATAACTGGTACCATATAAACATCTGTTGAACCAATGAGAGGGAATTTCTAAATTGTAAAGCACAGTGTAGATCTAAAGGATGTCGAGTAACTGATAGAAGATAAGGTAGGGCAGGAGACTTTGAGAGTAAAGATTTGTGATTCTTACATGAATTAGTATATGAATTAGCAAAAGAAGAAACTATATCCTTCAAAATATAACATTTCAAATATCAAAGAAAATGTATGTAAATATTGAGCTAAAATTCGTAGCATTTGCTGTTTGGAAATTGGCACTGATTTAAAAATGTTAAATGCTGATTATGGAAACACCAGGTTAATATCCTTTTGAGACCAGCTTGCTGGAGACTTAAGATAGAAGGGTTTGTTTTTTTTCTTTCTTGAGTGCTAGAAGGATTTGAGGTTATCTAAAGTATTCATAACCATGGGTCACAGCTCTAAGGATAGTTTGATCTCTTGAAACCAGACAGGAAAAAGACATCTTGTGAGATTTCTAGAATGATTTTGGTTTTCAAATTTGCATTCCTTATAATGCTCAACAGACAGGATGTAATTTTCTCTTTGTGATTTAGGTGCCTAAAGGAAAATCTAGAACTTGATGATAGAATTAAGAGTTATGAAATATCAGCTTTTAGTTTAGAATACTAAAATGGAAGAAAATGATCTCTTGCCCTGAACACTACTGATAACATTAATTCTGGATTCTAATAAAAGCACCACACTGTTTCTGAAGACCGTTATTTTAACTCCTTAAAAATTTTTCCTAGACCTATCCTGTTTGATTCATTCAACCCAAACACAGTTTTGGCTGTTAAGGAAACCTATGCCCCTGGCCTTTGCCTTCTAGTTTTTGTATCCCCAAGAAGTAGATTCAAATATTATACCACTGGACTCCAAGGTAGCCTTGAGCAAGCATCTCCTCCTTTCCAGAAGTCTAGACCTCTACTAGGACCAGCTTTTGAGGAAAATAAGGACAGTAGCAGAGATCCCTGAACCCATGAACATTCTGGGAGAGAATGGCCTGGGTCCTGCTGGCTACCTGGGCTCATCAGTAGGGCTACATAGCTTCAATTCCTGTACCACTGCTGAGGCTGCCAGGTGCCTGAGAAACATTCTTATCTGAGGAGTTGGTTACCAATGCCCTCAGACTGGGAAAGTGAAGATAAGCTGTGGGTAAACCCCCCATATTTTAAGTTCTATAGGATGGTATGGGAGAACAGGTTAATGAAGAGGACAGGTCTTCCGCCAAAACTGCTAACATCTAATCTGACTGCCCCTTGCAGAATTAAGTGAAAGCATTTACAGAAAGTATGCATCATGGGTATCAGCTGTGCCTCCAGAAGTAGAGTGGGATGTGGGGGGACCTCTGGGCTGACTTGGGTGCAAGAAATGCAGCTCACAGGTCGTTCCCCAGTGTCTCCATGGGCTGATGGGTTAGTTGGTGTTTTCATTCCTGTCCCTAATGGACACACAAAGCCCCATGTATTAATTACCAGTTAGAAAAACCAGTATTAAAACCATGTATTAAAAACCAGTTTCTCTGGGTTTCAGTGACTTCTCCTGAGACAGCTTCAGGGGATGATGTGATGATGATCTCATGGTTTTTTTCCACTGCTAGTGCCTTTAACTCCCTAAAGGATCTCCAGCCTTTGTCTGAATTACATAAATAAAGCTGCTCTAATTGCTAAAGCCCAGAGCTTTTTCACTTGAGTGTTTGCTCATTTTAAAATGTATGTTTGGTGTGCATACAAAATAATGAACATTATAAAAGTGAAGCACCACCAGTAGGAAGAATCTGCACTCACCCTGCAATTATAGCCTGTCGTGCATGCTTCTCTTTTACTATGCCAACACAAAGAACTGTAAACTTTATATACATTTGTATTTTTCCTTTTTTACTAAAGTGAGATTGTATATATAAATATATACACACACATATATTATTTTTTGCTCATAATATAATAGACATCACTCCAGGTCAGTAACTATAGATGAAAAATTAACAACCTAATACTCTATAGAATGGATTTTCTGTTCTTCTATAGGTAGACAGTGTTCCCCCTTTTTTGCCTTTTTCACATTTTTATGTGTTCTATGAGGTATTCTCCAAAGTAGTATTAGGTTAAAACATCTGTATTTTGGGGCCACTGGGTAGCTCAGTCAATTAAGTGACTGCCTTTGGCTCTGGTCATGATCCTGGGATCTTGGGTTCAAGCTCCAGCATCAAGCTTCTTGCTCCTCAGGGAGTCTGCTTCTCTCTCTCTCCCTCTGCCCCTGCCCACTACTTGCACTCTCTCTCTCTCTCATAAATAAAATCTTTAAAAAAAACACACACACACAAAAAAAAAAAACCCTGTATTTTTATTGTCATATTTTCTAACTAACACTTAGTAATTCACATTCCCATTAGTAACATACGAATGTACATGTATCTGTCTCCCCTCTTCCTTCCTAGGACGTCAGCTGTTTGTCTAGATGGCCATGGGCTTTTTTGCTTTTGAAATCGAGAACTTTACTAGGTTTTATCTCCTTGTCAATCATTCTTTGTCAGTGTCCCCCCCCGCCCCTCCGCCCTGGGACACTGCACTTATTCTTTAAAATCATTTTTTTTTCAGTATTTTCTTGATTATATCTTGAAATCTTTGTTCAATTTTGGGGGTTCTTTTTCAGAATCTCAATTATGTCTGTGTTGACTTCCCTTTGCCTGACTTAGCCTTGTCATTTTCTTTCTTTGCTCACCTTTCTCTATTCTGGCCTCCAGATTGTCATATTTTCAGCCTCTTCTTTGTTGTTTGCAACATGGCCTTTATTTCCATTATGCTTTTTATTTTTTTAAAAGTTTGAGTAGCCACATTTCAAGTGCTCAGTAACCACATGTGCCTAGCAGCTACCATAATGACAGCACAGTTTGGGAAGAGGACTAAAGGCCTGGAGTTCTGTTGACTTGATTCCCTTATTCTCCACAGTTCTCCAACCCCCCAATGTATCTCTAAGGAAATGGAAGGCTCTGAAACAATCTGAAAGCCAGTGTGATAGTAAACCCACTTCTGAAGGAGTTTCCTGTAGAAATGACCACTGAGTTTATAAACTATGCTGCCAAGTTTGCCCAGACTGTTTGCCCATACAAGGGGATTGGCTGGGCCCTGGGGCACACAGCTAGAAAAGGATTACAAAATGCTGAAAACTATCAATTGAATAAGAAAGACTGTCAGAGGAACGCATGTGTGGGCAGAAGTTGGTGGTCTTCCCCAAGCCTAGAGAAGGGGAGCTCCTGTGCCAGGAAGTGTCCACATCCAGTGTTATCCCAGGAGAAGGGATGATGAGATAGAGTCTATCTCAGATGGTCATAGCTCCTCTGCCCCACCCCCTAATTTCCTGGGTTCTGAATCCAAGCATCTTCAAATGATGACTGGCTTCTTGAAGAGATTTCCCAAAGCAACAGAATGTACTCACTAGAGGATCCCACTATACAGTCTATTTGGCAGGTGTGTCCTTCACTCGAATTAATAACCTGGCATTGTGTTTAGAAATTAATCCCTTGCCAATTTTTCAGCGTGATTGCATTTTCAAAAACACCAACTAAATGGGATTTCTGAAAGCTGCAGAATGAAAGGAGACACTCAGGGCCATGCTGACTCCACTGAGGTACTGAGCTGGGACCTCCAAGTACTCAGGGTGTTTACCACCTCACTGGCCCACACTCAACTCAAGGAATGAGGGGATAAGCCTAAGAAATGTCTCCAAGACCAGACAAGAAGGATCTGTGACACTGACTGGTAGGTACTACAGAAGACATTTCCTACTAGTACTGCTCACTTCAAAAGGAACAGTTAGTCCCTTCAAATTGTGTGGCTTTCTGCTGTTGCTTTATGGTGACACCTCTTGGCTGTAAATTGAAAATCTAGCTTCTTAAAAATTTTAGTCTCTACATTTTAAAAACCTATAGTTGGGGATCCCTGGGTGGCGCAGCGGTTTGGTGCCTGCCTTTGGCCCAGGGCGCGATCCTGGAGACCCGGGATCGAATCCCACGTCGGGCTCCCGGTGCATGGAGCCTGCTTCTCCCTCTGCCTGTGTCTCTGCCTCTCTCTCTCTCTCTGTGACTATCATAAAATAAAAATAAAATTTAAAAAATAAAAAAAAATAAAAACCTATAGTTGGGACATCTGGGTGTCTCAGTGGTTGAGCATCTGCCTTGGGCTCATGTTGTGATCCCAGGGTCTTGGGAATGAGTCCCACATCCAGCTCCCCACAGGGAGCCTGCTTCTCCCTCTGCCTTTGTCTCTGCCTCTATCTTTCATGAATAGGTAAACAAAATCTTTAAAAAATAAAATTAAAAAAAAATCTGTAGTTGGGGTCACAATGGGTTTTTAAATTTATATTCTGTATTACAGCTCAGGAAACTACTTAACCAAATCCCTGGAATCTATAAAAGGGGGAGGGAGGGTATGCTGGCAGCCCACAGCCCAGAGAACTGCCTCCTGAAGTCTAAGTTTTTAGCTGTTTGGAACTTTAAACATTGCAAAGTTGCCACCTACATCTGCTTCTCCCCACCCCCTAGACACCAAAGGAGTGGGGAGAAGCTCAGAGCTTTTCTGAGTGGCCTCTTTTCCTGCTGGAGGGGGTAACGTGGACATGAAGCCTAGAGCTGTTGCCTTTTTGCCTCTGTGAAGGAAGTGGGACCTAAGGATGGAACTGGCATTGCAAGCTAGTGAGTCAGGGGAAGGAAAGAAAGGGATCCTTTATGACATTACTGAGCTGCTGCATCAGACTAATCCCTAAGTAAACCCTACTTCTGAACTTGCCAGGTATTGGGCAAACAAATCCCTTTATTGTATAAGCCAGATACAGCTGGGTTTCTCTTGTCAAGGAAAGCATCCTAACCGTGATCCAAAAAAACATAAGTAAAATGCCTTTAGAGCTAATACATTGGAATGTATAGGGAAAGAGTAGGAAAAGTTTTGAAGCCAAGACCAGGTACAACAGAAGCACATTTGGAGGCAGTATGGCTTGATGGTTAGAAAAGAAGGCAGTGAGCATAACTCATGTTCTGTTGTTAGTGTTGGCTATGATCTTGGGTAATCCAGGTGACTCTTGTCCTTGGTTCCTATCAACAGAGTAAGACTTGTACTAGATGACTGTTTCCCAGCTCTTTCACCATCAGTAGTTTTTATTATTGGTCCTTCTTGGAGATTTTGTATTTTAAAACATTTTGTCTACCAGTACATTTTCTCACATACTTAGACAAAAGCACACATCTGCTTTGATTCTGATCAGCAAAGATAATGAACTTATCTGCCCAAGTCACTATATTTTGCATTGGATATTTAAAAACAAAGTATTTATTATTAGCTTCTGAAGCTTTAATGTAGATACGATTTTTTTTTTTTTTTTTGTAGATATGATTTCTGATAGGCCTTTACAAATACTGAAAGTAGCTTCCAGGCCCACTTCTTTTAAGGATCTTTGGAGATTCATAAGAACTACCAGTTTGAAGACTGTAAGTTACAATCCAATACAATCCAATAGGACGAAAATTCAGTGACTTCCCCAAAATACTTAACATTAAATTATAAGTCCTGATTACTATTTACTTTTTCACAAAATGCTCCAGAGTTTTAAAAAGACACAAAAAGCATTTTTGTATTTAGATAAGCCTTTTAAAATATAAAGACCACAAAGCAGTGTGACGGGTTTTCTTCTGTCACTTGTAAACTCTAGAGAAGGGAATCCTCAGAACACTGGAAGTGCTGTGGAAATAATCTTCATTTACAATCAGGATAAACTGCATTCAGCCAGGAGTCAAGGGGTCTTGGTTCTAGCTGCCATCCTGTACGATGTGATCCTGAACAAGTCTCTCAACTTCTGGAAGCCCCACCACAGGATGAAAGGGGCTTGAAGATCCCTTCCAGCTGTTCCTGTGTAATGCGATGAGATCGGACTAATGTTCCAACCTGTTTGGGGTCAGGGATGTTAGAACCTGAATTGAACAGAAGTACTTTTTAAATTCCTGCTTCTTTTTTGAGTCCTAAATTTTTTTTTTCATATTCTTCCATGCACTGAAATATATTTTCCTACTTAACAGCCTCTTCACTAATAGCAATTAAAAAAGCTTCTCAAGGATGTATTTCTCATAACTTGCTTTTATTTCTTCTCGACTTGTTGCTTTAATTTCTCCAAGATCTCTTCAGCAGTTGTGGATGCTAATAGCTTCACCACTTTTTCACGAGATTTACCACCCTGGACCAAAAGAAAAATTGGTGTCAGGATGACCCACTGAACATTTTAGTGCTATTAGAGACAGCAGAGCTCAGCTGTATCCATCACAGCTGTGTCTTTAGGGGGCTGCCACAGGTGGACTAAGCTATTGCTTTCTCTCGGTCATTTCTGGATTTCTGGTCTAACTGAAGACTCTCTTAGATTCCACCTTACTACTAATGTGTACAACTCTCCAGGGTTTTTACCTTCATACATAGATTTCTGTAATAAAAACTGGCATTAAAATTTCAAAATGAAGAGTCCAGATGTAGAATATTGCATTTTTAAGTACTTCTTTGTTTAAATTAAAAGTGAAAAATTATTTGTAAATTACCAAACACTGGGGTTTTATATAAACTTTGTATAAAAATAATTCCAAATATAGAACAAATTGCTGTTCTGTTACACATTTCTGAAAACTCCAAAAAAAAAAAAAAAAAAAAAAAAAACCACACAAATGCTGTAATTCCACAACCAACTGAGCCAAGGGTTTCATTTTAAAACATCCTTTAAAGGAGGTAAGATCTGAGCAAGGATTATCTATAGGGGTAGAAGTGGGAAGTGCCTTTCAGGCAAATGTCAGAGTGTGTGCACCGACAGAGAATCAGAAATGACCTGCCACAGGTGGGAGATATATTGAGGGAAGTGGCCCAATGGGAGAAATTTTTAGATGCAGCCTTTTAACCAAAGACTCTGAATGCCCACTGGAACCTGATCTAAAGAGTGTATCTCTAGAAGCATAGTTGGATCTCACTCCTGCAAATAATGTTTCAGTATGTCTAGAGTGATGCCCAGGAATGTGTGTTTCAGACATCATTCCCAGGTGATTCTGATACCCACACTTACAGAAAATTCATAATACTAATGATTTCATCTGGCTTTCTCTCTTCCTAAAGGAACTCTTTCAGATTTGTCAGTATGGTGATGACTTGAAGGAAGAGACAAGCAAGATCAATCTGACAGCAGGTACAGGGATACATGTAGGAAGAAAATGCTCGAAACGGTAGCTAAAGAACACGTACAGAACACGGTCAGTCCGAGTAAGGATCAGGGCATCAGGAATGAAGACTACACAAAACTCACACATTTTAGTGATTAAATGAGAGTTTAAAAAAAAAAAAAAACCCTAATTTTTCGACTACTTGGAAAAGAATTCATTTTTATAAAAGAATGGCTAATGTGTAATTATCGAAGCTGTTTCCAGAGAGAGAGACCTACCTTATCCAAAACCACATCACTCTTCCTGAGCTCCAGGACCTTGGAAAGGTACCGACAGAGCTCGGCATTAGCCTCTCCTTCTGATGGGGGAGCTGCGATGGCCACGCTCACGGCTTCTGCTGTCACGTCTGGAATGAAATCAGTGAGGACTGTATCCTTAAGGAGCAAGGATATTTTGTAAAAGGGTTTGCAGTTGCCTGGCACAGAGTGGGTTTTTCACTGATAACTACTGCATGAAGAAATGAACAAGTAAACCACTCCCACTTGAGGGAACATAAACATGATAAATATGCCTCCACCGTTTCAGGAAACAAAGCCAGAGAAAACCAACATTTACCCTGCCCTGTGGACCAAGACAGGCCTAGTGTCCCGTGCCTTAGGCAACTAGAAACTGCCCAATTGATAGGAAGAGAGAGCCCCAAGGCAGGACCAGGAGCTGGGTGTGAATGGGCGAGTTCACAGGTTCTGTCATCAGGAAAAGGAGTACTGAGCTAGATTGAGCTTATGTGGAATGCTGCTTAATGCTTTTATAATACAGCATTTAAACATTTACATAGCACTTGGCACAACCTGCCTCTAGTTCTCCATGGTTATTCTGGGGGAAAGAGAAATACGTACTCAAAGGAGCTTGCAAGTGAGCGTAAGCTGGTCCCCATGTGGGGTCACGCAGCCATTTTCACACACTTACACCCTGTCCACCTGAATGGCGTGGCCACAGAATACACAAGCACTAAGTGGCACAACAACCTACCTCCTGTCCTGTCACCAATTCCAGTTCTAAGATGTCCCCATTTTCCACACTTCAGTACCTTTCAAATGCACCTACTGTGTCTCACAATAGGTGGGAAGAAAGCATTCATGTGGATTGTCTTGCCAGTACACAAAATACTTGTGTACCTTCTGGCTGATGGCACCTGGGATTTAATGACACATGACATATGCCGAAAGCAGACTGTTCACTGGGACTCCTCAGAAAACGCTGGCCATGGTGGGTGCAGCCCACACACAGCCAAGCTAATATGGCCACTAGCACAAATGAGGCCCAACACCCCAATCCTGAGAATTCTCAGGTCTTGTTTTCAAAGTATAAAAAGAGAAAAGAGAAAGACCCTCACAACAATTCAGATCAATGGTCCTCAAACTTCTTTCCCCACCCAGAATACCATCCCCAACCTCACCCCCACACAAGTTCCCCTGGACTCCCAACATGTACAATAGATGAAAACACAGCTGCTCCGGAGCCCTGCCTGTTGACCGACCGGCGTCGCACCTAAGAGATCTCTGAGGCACCTTTGGGCTCCAGGGAACGGACTGAAAGCGTCTTAGTCCAGTACCCCACCCCACAGAGAGAACTGGGCCCAGGAGCTGATGATCAGAGCTCTCAGATACCAGGTTTTCCCTTCCTCCTTGGGTCGATGGTCATTAAACTCAACCAAAGTGTCTCTCTTCTCTCTTTCTCTGGCCAATGCCTCTAGTCTAGGCTACCCATCTGTCTACATGTGCTCTTTCTAAAATACCGTATTTTAGAAAGCATACTTGGTATGTTTTCAGCATCGTATGTTCACTTTTGACACTGGACTTACACCTTTACATTAGAATCTAGAATTTTAAAATGGGGAAGCGTCTAATCCCACGTGCGAGAAGTACACCGACTGGACCGGATCAACTCTGAGCTACCCCAGGCAGAGGGAGGATGGAGGGGGCCCCCGTGACTCCCACCTCATGTCCACATATACCTGTCACAGCGTTTTGTTTGGACCCTGGCTTGGCGCGGATGGCTATGGTGACACTACCTCTGGGATCCACCGTCACAGGGCCTAAGGAAGGAGGCGGTCTCTCTGGCTCCTGGCTCTTCCCCTAAAACGACAACCACCACTCGACAACTTGACGGGCTGGAGGATACCTTCCCACACGTGTGCCTCCCTTTCACCGTTAACCAAGACGAGCCCGTCGCGCGCGGGGATTTCTGGCCACCGGGGGAGGTTTCCCAAGCGTTCGGAATCAGTTCTCCACGAAGCCCTCCGATCCGCCCGAGTGTCCCCGCCGGCTGGGAGGCCCCCGGCCCGGGCTCCCCGTCCCGGGCTCCCCGTCCGGCTCCCGTCTCGCACCTCCCGCAGCACGCGCTGACCAACGCCCGCGAGCCACCGGGCCGGAGGTGTGCGTCCGGGGGAGCGGAGGGGACGGGAGCCGTGCCACAGCCGCCGGCTCCAGTCACCGGCCAGAGGGCGGCGGAAGGCCGCAGCAGCCCCCGCGCCCGCCTCTCTCCCACGCGCCTCCCACCCTCCCCCTGCCACGGGGCTTGCCACTGGCCTTGTTCGTCGCACCAGCCTTCTTGGGCATCTCGGCGCCCAAGGGGAGCCCCGCGGAGGCCCGGGCCCCGCGTCCCGACACGAGCCGCCTCAGCCCGCGGCCTAGCCGCAGCATCCCCGCGGGGGAGCCGGGCGGCGGCGGAGCGGCGCCGGAAGAGCCCTCTGCGCCTGCGCACGCGGCGGGCGGGAGCGGCCTGGCAGGCCCGCGCCCCCGCTCCGGCTCGAGGGCGACCCCTCCCTGCCGGCGGGTGCGCGGCGGCTCGTCCTGGCAGGCTGGAGAGCTGGGCCGGGATCCGTCCGGGTAGAGACGGCCCTACCCCTACCGCACCCGTCACCCCACACAGCCGGGAGCAAGGCCGTGCTACCGCTGGTCTCCTCTCTACTCTCGGGAGTAAAGGGTCGCAGTGAGCGGCGCGGCTAGCCCAGGGCCGGAGCGCGCCGGCCCCTGCTGCCCTCCGGCGCAGCCCGCGGGTCGATGCAGACCCGCCCGGTGCCGGCGCCCAGGACCGCCCGCTGTAAAGGACGGGAAGGGCCATTCTGACGTGCGGAACGGCAGGAGATGAAGCTGGAGGCGGGCAGCCCCGGGTGTGGCGGCGTGGCCGGTGGAGGCCGGAGGTGGGCGCCCGCCGCCGACGTGGGGGATGGTGGCCGGGCCCGGGATGAGGGCGGGGGCCGGAGCCATCATCTCCGGGACCTTCGGGAGTGCAGCCGGGGAGCGAGCCCGGGGCCTGAGCCCTGCTCCCCGCGACGCACCTTGTCAACCGCGGAATCTCTGCCTGTGAGGTGGGCCTCCCAACGACGTACCTCATCCCGACCGCGTCGGCGCCTCACGCGGCGACACTGAGGCTGTTAGGAACACTGGTCGCAGAGTAAATCCCGGAGTAGTCTCCATTCGCCCTCCTGAGGGCAGCCCAAGGCGGAAAACCTGAGGCCCCAAAAGAGATGAAGCAGCAGACAGAAGGCAGCTGAGGTTCCTGCTCTATGGCCCTAAGGCAGCAGCCAGGCATCATTTGTGTGGCAGTACTTCCTAAATGTAACATTAAACCTCACGTAACTAGAACCCTTATTCCAAAACGGTGTCTTACACTCAGCTTTCAGAAGAAAAGACGACGACAAAAAATAATAATAATAAAATAAAAGGATAATAGGTATTTATTTTTTTTCAGATTCCAGGGGATGTCCATATCAGTCAACAGTTCCAGTCCTTAACACCCTCTACAGCTACCTTCAGTTACAATCATCCTTCAGTACAACACACATGAGAAGCATCCAAAAGGCCTCGAATGTCAAAAACACATGAACTTACCCAGGGCACACCATACTTTGTAAGGTACGAGTACTTCCCATAAGTTACTACAGAGTGTTTGCTGGTTAATCTTTAGTTAGCCAGAGCCACACACCCCATAGATGTTCCAGTTAACTGAGGTTTAGAGCCCTAAGACGATGTTACCAGAGAAAAATGCCCCTTCTTCAGCTATTCTGAGACCTCTGCCACCAACACACCTCACTACCTTCTTGAAAATATAAAAGGAAGTACGATTTTGGATGAGAATTTTTTTGTCCTAATTACTATTATTTAGAAAACCTCAATTCTTTTTACATTGTTACTTAAAAGAACTGTGATTTTTAACAATCTCCCCAAACTATTTGATACAACTTAATTACACATAAGTTTTATTTTTTTTTACAAGATAATCACTTTCAAGGGAAAAAAGTATTTATATAAAAATTCTGCTTTATAAAAAAGTACGTAAATGTTATTCTACCAGGCATACTTCCTATCCCTTCCTAATACAGCTGCACCTGTGACACGAGAGGCCATAAATATGAAATGCATCTTCCCTCAGGTAGAACTGTGTAGGTGACAGAAAGTATACTTTCAGCAGGAGTGATTCTGTTGGATATCTTTAAAATTTCAAAGTAGCTGTTAGAAAGGTCAGTATTTTATTTCTTGTTCTGTAATATTATCGCCTGGCCACCACCACCAGCGCCATCTCAATCTTGGGCATTCTCAGGAGCATCCCCCATACAGATACACAAGTACAGTGCTGCACTTTAGTGATACAGAATCCAGTCTAGACTATACCTTTAGATCCTCTGTTTTTGCCATATTATTGTGAATCTATACAAACTCCATTTATATTTTAAAACCGTACTATGTAACACATGACTATATACTATTATAAAATATCCTTTTTTGTAAATACATGGAAAATTTTCTTGGGCATTTATTAGGCCTACTTTAGCAATATTCCAAATGCTAACAACCGATTACTTCGAAACTCCAAATATAAAGTCAATTTTCTTAATTTTCTGAAATTAGTTATGTGAATTAATGAGAATTCTGTAGGAACACTGACCCATCTCAGCTCATGTAACCTTCAGAATACATAAGCCGGTAAGTCCAACTCCTCTAATCTTCACAACAGTTAAAGCAACAACACTACCAGCTGTCTGAAACAAGGATCTTTCTATAAACTGTTGAAAGACCGTGAGTCAGCTATCTACAAAATTATACAAGATAAAGCTGAAAGAACCGCATGTTTTTTTTTTTTAAGTTCTCTTTAAAAAGAGAATCCAGTTCTCTTTTCCCTTAAGGTTATAAGAAAATGGAAATTCTGCTTTTAAACCATGCAGAGATTTAAATCAACATTCTTCATCTCCTCTAAGAAACTAAAATGTTTCTTATCTTACAATTATAAATATTCATGACGCTCAAACTATTTTTTGTGGCCAGTTTTTTATGCCTTTGATATTAGCCAGTATGGTACTATTTAGCCAAGATGTATGAGAATGCTAAATTATGTATAAAATATTATTTCTGGTATTTGTCCATCTTCTATTGAAGTGCCATTATTATTGCCAGGGGAACTGAAAAAGAAAAAAACAGTCTTGCTAGCAGCAGGTGTCTCATGCACGACTTTCTTCAATCCTTTTGTGCCATAGTGGGAATCTGGACCCTAAATGAGAACAAAAGGTTCATTAGTCATTTTCACTTAATAAGCAATTTAATGTGGTGTTTTAATTAGATTAATGATCTATTATATTTCATTATAGTTCTTATATGAAATTTTATGTTAAGCCATTTAATGGAAAATAAAGTTTCTGCTACTTTAAAGTAGCAGAAAATCATTAAATCATTAAATTTTAAATCATTTAAAATCATTAGAGCCAGTTAATGATTAAAAATACTGACTGTAGAGGTCAGCTTTTAGACAAGAGTGAAATGGTTTTATTTTTTTAAAGATTTTATTTACCTATTCATGAGAGACACAGAGAGAGAGGCAGAGACGCAGGCAGAGGGAGAAGCAGGCTCCATGCAGGGAGCCTGATGTGGGATTTGATCCTGGGATTCCAGGATCACACCCTGAGCCAAAGGCAGACGCTTAGCTGCTGAGCCACCCAAGGCATCCTGTGAAATGATTTTTAATTTTTTTTTAAATTTTTATTTATTTATGATAGTCACAGAGGGAGAGAGAGAGAGAAGCAGAGACACAGGCAGAGGGAGAAGCAGGCTCCATGCACCGGGAGCCCGATGCGGGATTCGATCCCGGGTCTCCAGGATCGCGCCCTGGGCCAAAGGCAGGCGCCAAACCGCTGCGCCACCCAGGGATCCCCTGTGAAATGGTTTTAATAATTATCTCCTGTCAAACATTTAATCTCCTGCTCAAAGGGCTATGTCTTAGCTCCCAGCTTCCGTCTTTCTCCTCATCCTAAAGGTTTTACTGTCAGTGACTCTCAGCTTCTGTGGAAAATTGCTGTGACATGCAAGAAGAAACCCACCAGTTCACCCCCTGGAACATCCTGGAAGACCCTTACTTTGAGTGTTGCACATGCCGTGTAGCACACGTTGGGCAGGATCTCTATAGGTTCTTTGAACATGACCCTGAATGTGTTAGCAGTTCCATCACAACTGAATCCAGTATCGTTTTGTCCCAGGGTCTGTTTTTTTTCATATTCGATGATCTGTAATGTTTCAAAGAGAAGATACACTTCAGTTGATGTAACTGAAGTTTCAGAAAAGAATGCAGAGCCCTTAAAACAGAGGCTGTGTCTCTGCCGTGTAATTCTTCTCACCCCCAGAGACAGCTCTAACAGTCAGGAGTGGGGAGGATACCAGCTCATGACCTCGGCTGCGGGACAGAGGGGCTTCCATGGAAGACACACAGTTCGGGGAACTGGTTTTAGAACGCTTGGATTTTAGATACTGTGGAAAATGGGCCTTTGTTCCTTGCTAGTCTTGCTGCTAGAATATTTGCAGAGCCATTTCCTATGTCTAAATGTTATATACTGAATTAAAATGACCTGAAATGCAGTATTCAAGTATGCATATATCAAAAATGTGAAAACCTTGTGTTTTCAATTTTGTTCCATCATCTATGCCAGGCACTGAAGGACTCACCCTCAAGGAACTTCCATCCACTAGACATATGTACAGTGACAACTCAGTACAGCATTTGCAGTAACGGCTATGCATAAGGTCAAGCAGTTCAGTGGAGGAGAATTTTATCTTGTCAGGAAGGGGTTAGGCTGCACAGAGGAAAGCTTTAAAAGCTCCAGTTAGAGCCCACCCTGGGTTACAAAGGTCCATTTGAGGGGGCAGCAGGTGCAGAGGCGGAGGCTCACAGACCTGCCTTTTTTGCATACATCAGATAAAAACAGGAATGGTAAAAAAGACCAAACCAGTAGATGCTGTGTGAGGTGAGGACAGTGGTCATCTCTGCAGGGATAGTGACCAGAAAAGATCACAGGGAGACTCCCAGGGCGCTCAAACATCTTGTTCCTTGATCTGGCTGCACAAGTGTGTTCAGTTTGTAAAAAGTGAAACACACATACTGCTTAGAAATATGTGCACTTTTCTATACATAGATCACAGATCCATAAAAAAAAGACCTGGCATGCTGGTGTCCTGGGGTAAAGTAGTAAGCCCCAGCCTCTGGCTGTGGCAGTATAATCCACAGCAAACTGCCACACTTCCCTGAGCCCCAATTGTTTCATTTGGTGGAAACCCTGCTTTGCCTTCCTCCTAAGGCGGTTATAGGAATCCCATTAGAAACTCCAATTTTAGCATATGTGCTGCCCAAGCGAGCACCTATTAGAAACTCCAGCAACACCAATGGCAGATTGTGTTGCAAACACTTCAAGTGCATCCCATCACAAAGCTGTACGGTGGGCGCCACGGCTGCCACAGCAGACAAGGGAACTGAGGCTGAGACACTCTACATGATTTGCCCACCATCGCAGCTCAAGGTGGTTGAGCTGAGACTCAAACCCAGGAGGATCTGCCTGGTGGTGGATCTGGAGGGGGCGTGACGCTAGCCACTGGGGGAAGAAAATAAACACAAGTCCTATTTCTACTCATTTTACTCAGTTTTTATTATTCTACCATTTCAATATACCTATATCCCTGATGCCCTCTCTTGGGTCTGAAGATTGTACAGCCTGCTTAAGTGGGTTCACGGATCCTCCTGGGATAGGATCTTAACACTACTTATAAAGTGAAATGGGGAGTGCTCATGAAAAGCCTTTATACCCCTCAGAGGTTTGCTATGGTTTTACTGTACTTAACACAAGAAAAATAAAATTTTCTAACCATTGAAATCTTTCAAAAATAAATAATTTCAGTGGGTTTTGAACCTCAATTTGTTAAAAATATTTAAAATGTCATTAACTGGTTTGTAAGAGTAACAAATTTACATCAGTGATGTAAATTTATCAGCGGATTTCTTATTCAAAAAAATATTTATTCAAATAATCTCTACGCCCAAGGAGGGGCTCAAGGTCACAACCTCGAGATCAAGAGTTGCATACTCTTCTGACAGAGCCAGATGGGCACCCATCAGCTGAATTTTTTTTAAGATTTATTTGAGAGCCTGAGTGGGAAGGGCAGAGGAAGACTCTCAAGCAGACTCTGCACTGAGCCCAACATGGGATGGACTCCATCTCACGACCCGAGCCGAAACCAAGAGTTGGGAGGTCTGACTGCGCCTCCCAGGCACCCCAACAGAGTTCCGATATAACTGTAGCAAACAGGATTAGACTATGAGCATGTCACGAGCAGAGCCAATAATGTGGTTCTTCCATTCGTAGCAAGGTGTCTTTGTGAGGTGGTGAGGAATCTTTTTAAGCTATCATCCAATCAGACCTCTGAATCGTTCCATATTTGGAAAACTAATGATGCATTTTGAACACAAAGGTCACCAAGGTTTTCACTATTAAAACTAATGTATTAATAACATTTTAGGGAAGGCAGTTATTTTGATAAAAGTTTTCAAACACTGTTTACTTCCTCTTCTCATTTCTATTGTTTCCTTATGCAAAATTATCAAAATACAGTATTGCATTGTATGTGCATAGTTTGTAAATACAAGTCCGCTTCATAGATGTGTTTCAAATACGATTTTACTAATTGGGGTGTGTAATCACGATAGTGGAAGAACACTGGTTTACTGTAAGGGAATGAGAGGTACCTAACTGAGGTGGAACACATCTCAAGAATGAGGCAGGGCAGAGTCCAACAACCAGAAATCAGAAGGTGTTTAGTTTTGAGAAATTAGACAGTTTCAAGGGCTAAAGTTCAAAGTGCTGTGAAAAACAGCAGGTGGATGTTTTAAGACAGCCAATGCACAACAGGAATGGCTGGCAGAAGTATTCCTGGAGAAAGGAGAGCTCCTTATATACTAATGCTTCTGTGAAGGACCTCAAATCCCCTAAAACTCCTCTTTGGTCGGCAATAAAACAAAAATGTCCTGGCTTTCTGATGGCTTTGATAATTCTACTGAAACCTGGATTTTGTTAAAATGAGATCTTATTGTAAAATCACATTGGTTATATTTCGAGATGATATATAGTGAGGAAGAAAGTATACCTGTATATTCACTTGATAATCCGTGGGACCATGAATAGATCCATATAAACCAAATCCGACTATAGAGATTCTTCTATTAACTGTGAACCTGAGAGAATGAAGCCAAATATAAAATAATACACATAATTCAGTAAGTATTCACAGTCTGAAGGCTTATAAAACTTTTTTTTAAGTGTTACCTGGAATATCTAATTTTGCCCATAAAAAGGAGAACTGTCATAAATGTGACATCCTTGGAGGTGTCCTCTGTTTACCAAAACTCTAGTAAATTTAACTTAATGCTAACACTTAAATAGAATTTTTCTCTACTATAATTCTTGAGAGTCAAAGAAAATTTAACCTAAATACCCATTTTTGTTATATTGGTAATTTTAATGGTATATTAGTCTAAATATGTTTGCATATCTTCATGAACACAAACGTGTCCGTCATTAGGCCCAAAGCCCAGCAGTCCAAACTACAACTTAACAGCTTGAGGAATACTTAACTCAGAGCCTGTCAGGTTCAGGTAGTGGGCCTGGCACCAGGGAAATAATGGTCAACAGGCCAGTCTGCCCACACTGCACCCATAGCCTAATGGAGGACACTAGTAACAGGCAAGTGAGCAAAGGACTCCATCAGTAATTATGGGCAGTGATTGGAGCTGGGAAGAAAGGCTGCCAAACAGAACACTGGTGGTGCAGTGCTGTGGCCAGGACCTAATTTATGCAGGTGGATCAGGATGAGGTTTCACACAAAAAAAATGGGCAGGTCAAGAAACAGACCCACCTCACTCCATTTTATGAATGTATAAAACTGACAGTTAAGTACAAACAGCCCTGGGAAACTGATCAGAGATGATCTGTGAACGTAAAGCAGGGACTCTCATCGTCTTCTGTAGCAACTTGAGTGATCACTGTTCTCACTACCACACCACTTACTTCCTGTCCCGGGTGCTGGGCTTTGGGTTTTTAAGTGAATTATTTCCTTTAATCATCATAACAGCTCTATAAACTAAGTAACAGTATTGTTTTTATTATCTTCAGTTATAGTTCAAGAAACCGAGGTTTAAAAGAAAAAGAAACTGAGGTTTAAGAGAAATGAACTTGCCTATATCAAAAAGTCGACTTAGCTGGGACACAAGTACAGGACTGCTTGGGTCAAAAAGCCAATGTTCTTAATACTATGTCAACCTCTCAGTACAGTCCAAGGACCACCTTAAAATTTTTTAAATATATCATTTACAGTTTTTTTATTTTAAAAAGTTAATATATTCTCTGTAAAAAAAATTTAGAAAATGCAGCTAAGCAAACAAAGTAATTTTAAAGCATTTCTAAATCCAGAGATAGCCCCCATTTATCTTCTGGTGCATTCTCTTTTCAGACTTTTAGTTCTATTTTTTAACAATGGGAAAAGAAGAGTTATTTTCTATGACCAGGTTATTTTAAAAATCATCTCAAAAAATATATATATTTTTTGCAACTTCCTTTTAATTTTAAAAGGTAAACAATTACTGTATTTATTTCCTCACTGTTGGATAATCTAGGTTATTTGCTGTTTTTGTTATACAATATTGCCATATGAACAATCTTGTAGGGCCTCAATTATGTCCTTAGAATAAATTCCTAGAAGTACAATTGCTGAGAAAAATGAAAGGCATGTTCTTAAGGCTTTAGATAAACATTATCAAATTGCTTTCCGCAAAGACTAGCACACTTTCCATCCCAACAAAGATCGACTCTATGTCACACTCAGTAATCCTGAGTATTTTCATTTCTTTGTGCCACCGAGAAACTGATGACTCACAAACTCTATTTGATTTGACGTTTGAAAAATCGTCGTTTTTCAATCAAATGACGTTTGATTTGACTGACAAATTCTATTTGACGTTTCTTTGATTACCAGGGAGTTAATACATTTGCTCATATGCTTACTGTCTACTGGATTTTCTCTTTAATAAGAAATACTCATGTTCTTTTCCCATTTTTCTCTGCTGATGTCTTTTTCATGTGGATTTGAAAGGCCATGTTATACAGCTGTGCTTTGTCATTAAATATTCACTACAGAAAGCATCCTGTTTGTCATTTATTTATCAACTTTATGGTGGGTTTGCAAGTAAAAATTTTGGATTATCTACAGTCAAATTATGATCTCTGCCAAATTTAAAGAGACCTATCTCACCCACATCGTAACATTCACCTCCTCTAGCATTCTCATGATTTCATTTTTTTAATGTTAAAATTTAACTTTATACAAATATTGGTAGATGAGATAAAAAAGGATCTAACCTTATTTTCCCAGCAGTTAATCCTTTTTTCACCTTCTAAATTTCTTCCCTTATATTTTAAATGCTCATTTGTTAGACTGGTTTCTGAACTCTGTAGCATGTTCCATGCAATACTTATTTTAACTTTATAATACTTTTCATATTCAATCCATACATTTTTTTTTAAGATCTTATTTATTTGACACAGAGAGAGAGAGAGAAAATATACACAGGGGAGAACGAACCAGGCTCCCCGCTGAGCAGGGAGCCCCGACTCAGGGCTCAATCCCAGGACCTGGGGATCAGGTCATGACCTGAATATGAAGGCAGATGCTCAACTGACTGAGCCACCCAGGCGCCCCCATACAGCTCTTCTAAAAAGAGAAACATTTAGTCTTCCAGATTAATTTTAGAATAATTTTCCCAAGCCGCTCCTCCATACCAAACATAAGTGACTTTGGAAAGGAACTGCATAACATACCCAGTTAGCCTGGAAAGATTGATTCCAAAGTTCTCCAGTTCTTCATAAAGGTATGAGTTTGTGTTTCTTTTCTTTTTTTTTTTTTTAAGATTTTATTTATTTATTCATGATAAGACAGAGAGAGAGACAGAGGCAGAGGCAGAGGGAGAAGCAGGCTCTGTAAGAAGCCTGTAAGAAGCCCGACACGGGACTCGATCCTGGATCTCCAAGATCACGCACTGTGCCGAAGGCGGTGCTAAACCACTGAGCCACCTGGGCTGCCCTAAGTCTGTGTTTCTTACTGTATTTATTCCTGCTCCTTTACGTTGTCACAACAATAAATGGGATCTTTTTTATTTAATATTATAACTGAAAATCTAAACATTTTAAAATTTTCTTTTTATTGTGGCAAAATATACAACAAAATGTACAACCATCTTAATCATTTTTAAGTGTGCAGTTCAGTGGAATTGAGGACTTTCAACCCTTGCCATCATCGATTTCTGTAACTAAGTTCTTTTTTTAAGATTTCATCCATTTGTTCATGAGACACACACAGAGAGAGGCAGAGACACAGGCAGAGGGAGAAGGAGGCTCCCCAAAGGAGCCTGATGGGAACTTGATTCCGGGACTGGGAGCATGCCCTGAGCCAAAGGCAGACACTCAACCACTGAGTCACCCAGGTGTTCCTATAACTGAATTCTGATGACACATGGGAACATCACTGGTCTTTGCATATACATTTCACAAGTGGCCACTATTCTCTTTTATTGGTTCTAACAGATTTTTATTAATCCTGAGGTTATCCAGATGAATCCGTTGTTCTCAAAAGGAATTCTATCCTCAAGAAGACCATGCTCTGTTTTCACAAAGGTTTAGGGGCACTACTGGCAGGGAGCCAGGGGCACCAGATTTACTGCAATGATTAGGACAGTCTCCCAAAACAAAGGATCCAAAGCAACTTTCAAATATCCTATCAGAATTCACGTAGGTGAAAAACTACAAGAGTTCAACCTAATTCTACTTTATGTACAAACCAAAGATTTTTGTTGTTGTTGTTACAAAGCAAGATTACTTCTACAGAGGATGTATCTTATGTCTCTGCACAGAAAGGAATCAGGGGATTAGATCCAACTCTGTTCTCTGCAGAGCAGGGGGTTCTTCAAATCTCAAACATCATACACTGTTTCAGCATAAACCAAAGATTTTTTATGGCAATTTTAATATTCACTGACTTTTACAAGAGGTGATTACCATATAAATAGAGAAAGTATCTTATAGTGAATTCTTGTTATTTATAGCAATTATATTCTATAAAGTTGCCACAAATACTAAACCACTGCTCCTGGGGGGGGGGGGGGGACGGACATGTGTGTATTCTCTCTCTCTCTCTCACACACACACACACACACACACACACACACACAGCCTCACATAGATTATAATCTTAAATCCTAAAAACAACTCTATCCTAGTAAATTCCATTATCTTTATTTTACAAAAGAGAAAACAAAGGTTCAGAAGTGTTAAGTGACTTTGCCTGAGGCCCCCCACCAATGGTGGAGAGTTAGGATTCACATTGCCTAAATGACCCCAGGGCCAGTGTCCTGCCCTATACTGCATGGCCCTCAACTGTCCCCATTTCTACAGGAAAGCTGAAATAAGGCAGAGAGTATCTTCTTGTGTGATCTCAAGTAGAAAAATACTTCCCAGGCAACTAAAATCTTTCCTATGACTTAAGAAAGCCCTGCAAGTATCGATTTTGAGAGTACAAATAAATTTTAGTGAATAGGCGAGTCGCAAATCTGGAAAATAATAAATATGACTGACTGTACTTTGTTTTATTTGAAACCTTTAAAAAAAATGACACGATTGGCAGCACCAATGCTCCTGGGTTTTGACACATTAATATGATACACCTGTCCCCTGCCACGATGGCTGTCTCAGCATGCTGGTGTGTACACAGACTATCTTCTAGTGTGGTCCTGCCCAAGTGCCTACATTTGAAGTATGTATTTTATCTCAGTAACACTGCTTCATTACATTACAACTAGGTCATTATGTTGATTAAAAATAATGTGTGAAGTATATGATCTATGAATTTCATCAGGTAAAGAGGGAATACAAAGTATTTTATTATAAAAAAGAGAAAACTGGTACTAATGTAGATAATGTTATCTGCAAAAAAAAAAAAAAAAAAAAAATGAAAGACGTCTTCCTTTCCAGTATTCAAGGCTCGAATTTCCTTATCTTTTATGACAAACATAAATAAATCACATCACCCAGAATCATAAGAATACTCCTGAAACACAGCAAGGTTGGCCAGCCTCATTATTTGAGGTTTTGATAGTCTATCACGTGAAAGAATTTTTCTAGACCCCATCTATTACCAGTTACATCTGGAATGAAAGTGAAATTTTATCAAGTCTTCCCGACAACTATTGAACCAATCAAATTCCTTTTCTTCTTTGATCTGCTACTGTGATGAATAGATATTAATACATTTCCTAAAACTGAGTCATTTTTTTCAATCTTCAAATAAACCCAGTTTGCTCACATAGTACTATTTTTCTGAGGTACTGCTAGATTCAAGACACTGATATCTTATGTCGAAGTTCTTCTGAATCAAAGAGACAGACCTAGAAAAGTTTTGGTCTCATCAGACTGCTGTATAAGGGTTATGCTTCTTTCAATAATTAACCAAAAGTATTTTCTTCTTTTAATGCTCAAGGAAACGACTTGTTCCTTGAAGGTTTGATAAAACTCACCTGTAAAAACCACCTTGTGAAGGGACAGTTCTTTGATAACTTTTAATTCCTTCCATTGGTAATTGGTCTATTCAGGCTTTCTTCTTCAGTCAATTTTGATAATTTATATTTGCCTATAAAATGATCCATTCCATCAAGATGTTCAATTTATTAGCACAGGGTAAGCTCAGAATTAAAAAAAAATTGCCTTAGTGAATGATTTATTCCAATTATTATTTCTAAATGTATGTTTTTTTCCTTTACTATCTTTGAGGTTTATTTATTTTGTTGATTATTTTAAGGAAACAGCTTATGCGTTTCTTAATTCTACTATTTTAAATTCATTAATTTCTACATTTATCTAATTTTTCTTCTCATTTCTATTGTTCTTTCGCTATTCATTTTCCAGCTATTTGAGTTCAATGCTTAAATCATTTATTTCTACTCTATTAAAACTAGATCATTATTACTGTTCTTTTGTGTGACACTTTGGCCTCATCTCATAAATTTACATATAAAACATTCTCATTGTGACTGATTATCAAATAGTCCACAAATGCATTTATTTCCATTTTCACCCAGTCCATTTATAAGTCCATTTATAAGAATTGTTTAACAAACTTGTTTTATTAAGTTCCTAGTTTGATACTAAAGTGCCATTAAGTAAGTAAAAATCCAAAAGGTCTATTTTATGAAAACTGGTACTTATTTTATTTTGACATTTAACCTAAAGAAAACACAGTAGAGCAAAGATAAATTGCTCAACAGGATTATATCCATGCATCTTTCAAAATTCTGGATTTTTTTTTTTTTAGCCATTTCAGCTTTCGTAGCATACATGGAGCTATATCCCCTGTGCAGTATCCCATGCAAAGAAAAAGTTCAAGTTAAACACTATAATAGCAAGTGTTTGACTGACTTAAGGTGCAGAGCCCACTGGCCAGCGGCGGCAGTCCAAACAGAACCCAGGTCGTGGGAAACCACCCCTCCCCGCCCCCCCGCCCTTCTACCTTCACTTGTTTTCTGAGAGGTCCTCTCACTCATGGTCCAGTGAGGAGATGGCTGTACCTCCCTGACTCTTGACTGTTGTAGTAACTCAGAGATGTATTAAACAAAGTTGAAACTAAAATGTGGTCAAAGATCTTCTGCAACATACAGAGAAAGGAGCCCGCACTTGTGGTGAAGAAGCTACCTGATACGGTCGCTTGTGCCACTGTAACCCCAGCGGCTCTCCACCTGCTGGAACCTGTTGATGCAGCACTCTTTCCCCCGCAGGCAGCATCGGGGCCGATCGATATATTCAACTCGTGGTTTAGGGTTGACAGTAAAATGAAGAAAGAGATTTACCACCTCACGATCGGACAAAATTCCAGACTGAGCGGGACCTGCAAAAATAAAAATATAACCTAGGAAAAGCACCTTGATTTCAATACCACATTTGGTAATACTCCACATAATCATGTGAATTCAAATCCAGAAAATGTAAAGTAACAATGAGGCAGAAAAATTTTAGTATGTATTTAATTTTAAAGATTTCTAAATCCATTTGAGGTTAATCTAACAGAACGTAAGTGTTAATAGTGCTCTCTCTCAAATCAATCAATCTTTAAAAAACAACCACGGGATCCCTGGGTGGCGCAGCGGTTTGGCGCCTGCCTTTGGCCCAGGGCGCGATCCTGGAGACCCGGGATCGAATCCCACGTCGGGCTCCCAGTGCATGGAGCCTGCTTCTCCCTCTGCCTGTGTCTCTGCCTCTCTATCTCTCTCTCTCTCTCTGTGACTATCATAAATAAATAAATAAATAAATAAATTAAATAAATAAATAAATAAATAAATAAATAAACAACCACAAACGAACAAAATCCTCAACAAAGAAAACTTCAGATAACCTCGCTGGTTAATTTTCCTAAACATTTCAGGAAAAAACAACACCAATCTTAACTCTTGAACGCTAAAAAAAGAAACATTAACTTTTGTACGAGACCAGCATAAACTTGGTAATCAAAATCTCACAATTTCATTACAAGAAAGGAAAAATTATAGGCTAATTTCTCTCATGTAGTAGTCATAAAAATATTTTTATAAATTCAGCAAATTGGATTTGGTTACATAGGATAATGCAAGACAACTAAGTCTGGCTTATATAAGGAATCCAAAATAGGTTTAATTTGGAAAATCAGTGTTGTTCACCGTATTAGGAAAACAAAGCAGACAGCATCTCTCTACTTGCTAGATGGGATGCTGCCCAATTCATGCACTCCTTAATAAAATCAATTACGTATTTTAAAAAAGAAAATAAAGGGGAAAATTACTGCATCACTATCTGAAAATAATTGATATCTGAAAGTAATTGATAAAGTTAATGATAAAACTCTCAGCAGACTAGTAATAGAAGGAAGCATCCTTAATCTAATAAAAGGTATCTACAAAATATTCACAGCAAACATACTCTGTGAGGAAATACTTAGAGCTTTCTGTTTCTGTGTAAGACTGGAATGAAACAAAGATGTTCACTATCAGTACTTCTATTCACCAATATGTCAGAGGTCCTAGACCATATAATAAGGCAAGAAAAAGAAATAAAATGTCTAAAGATTAGAAAGGCAGTGCAATTATTATTGTTTGCAGATGGCATGATTGTACATGTGTACTATGTACAGTGATCTACAAATAAATTATTAGAATTAGTGAATTTAGCAAGGTCACTAGATACAAGGTCAATATAGGAAAATCAACTGTATTTTTATCCACCACCAGTTCCAACACAGACATTTAAAAAAACAATCATGGGGTGCCTGGATGGCTCAGCCAGTTAAATGTCTGCCTTTGGCTTAGGTCATGATCCCAGGGTCCTGGGATGGAGCCCCACATCAGGCTCCCTGCTCAGTGGGGAGTCTGCTTCTCCCTCTCCCCCTGCTTGTGTTCTCTCTCTTTCTCTCTCTCAAATACATAAAATCTTTTAAAAAACAAAGATAAAAAACCAATAACTTACAGTAGCATTTAAAAATGAAATACATAGGCAATAAACCTACTAAGAAGCATACAAGACTGCTACCAGAAAACTCAAAATATTACTAAGAGAAATTTTAAAGGACTTAAATAAGTGTTTCATGGTTTGGAAGACTCAATATCATGAAAATGTCAATTATCTCCTCACCAATCTATAGATTCAATGCCATCCCTATCAAAATCTCATGATTTTGGAAGGTAAAAACTGAGAAGCTGAATACAAACTTTATTTATACGAAAAATGCAAAAAGACCAAAAATAGCCTACATAATTTTGAAGAAGAACAAAGCTGGAGAATTTTTACTACCAGATACCAAGATTTAGTGTGAAATTATGCAGAATTGGTAAAAGAATAAATAAATATAACATTGGAACAGAACAGACACTCCAGAAACATATTCATTCAAACAAAATGACCTGATTTACAACAAAAATTTGTCCAGCAATGTTCAGGGCAAGGATAGTTTTTTAATATGTAGCTATATGGGGAAAAAAAATGAACCTTAACCTCTACCTCACACCAAATATATGTGAGAAAACAATATAGAAGACAAAAATACAGTTGGTTTATAGATCTAAACATTAAATGTAAAACAATAAAACTCCTTGAAGAGAACCTAAGACAATATCTTAATCATTTTGAGGATGTCAAGCTTCTTAAAGAGGACACAGAAAGAGAAAAAAAGGGGGGGGTACAGAAAGCCTTCGCCTTACTAAAGAAAAAGATTGATAAAGTAACTTCATTAAAATTAAGATTTTCTATTTATCAAAAGCCAAGATATAGAAGCAACCCAAGTGTCCATCAATACACAAAAAGATAAAGAAAATGTGGTACACATTACAATGGAATATTATTCATAAAAAAGAATGAGATCTTGCCATTTGCAACAACATGGATAGAGCTAGAGGATATTATGTTAAAGTGAAATAAGTCAAACAGAGAAAGACATATACCATATGGTTTCATATATATGTGGAAACTAAAAAACTAAGGAACAAACAAAATAAACAAGCTCTTAAATACAGAGAACAAACTGCTGCCAGAGGGGAAGTCGTTGAGGGGGATGAGCAAAGTAGGTAGAGGGGATTAAGAAGTACAAACTTTCAATTATAAAATAAGTCATGGAGATGAGAAGAACAGCATAGAGAATATAGCCAATAATATTATAACAACATTAATTGGTGATACATGGTGACTATACTTATCATGCTGAGTTCTGGGTAATATACAGAATAGTTGAAACACTAAGTCATACACCTCAAACTAGTATAGCACTGTATATCTACTATACTTCCATAATAATTTTTTAAAAAGAAAAATTATCTCATGAATGAGGATATCCAGTTATTGGCACAATCAACATCATTAATTGTCAGAAACACAAAAAATTAAAACCACAATAAAGTATGTCCTCATCCTACTATATGACTAAAACTACAAAAACTGACAATACCAAGTTTTGCAGAGGATGTGGGGCAACTAGAATGTACTCTGAACTCTCTTAACTTGGCAGTTGAGCATGAACTGATATAATCATTTTGGGTAACTATTTGGTAAAATCTAATGTTGACTACATGCACACTCTATGACATAACGATTCCACTTGTATAATACTCAACAGAAATGTTTACATATGCACCCTAAGTGACATGTACAAGAATGTTCTTAATGGCCCCCAAACAGAAACAACCCAGATGTTCAGCAAGAGTTAAATGCATAAATGAATCATGGCACATTAATACAACAGATTATACAACAATGAAAAAGAATGAGCTACTGTCACACACAACCACTAGGATGAATCTAAGACATGTTAAGAGAAAAAAGCCATACACAAAAGAACACATACTGTACATATAATTTCCTTTATATACATTCAAAAACAGAAGACATGAACATTTCTCCAAAAATGACATCCAGATGGCCAACAGACACATGAAAAAAGATGCTCAACATCACTCACATCTGTCAAAATGGCTAAAAGATTTTTAAAGATTTTATTTATTTATTCATGAGAGACACAGAGAGAGAGGCAGAGACACAGGCAGAGGGAGAAGCAGGCTCCATGCAGGGAGCTCGATGTGGGACTCCATCCTGGGACTCCAGGATCACACCCTGGACCGAAGGCAGGCACTCAATTGCTGAGCCACCCAGATGTCCCAAAATACATGATTTTTGTATAGTTATACAAACTATACAAAATATACATGGTATTTTAAAAATATAACCTATGTTCACTCATATGTGTGGAAATCTAAAAAAACAAAATAAAAACAAATGAATAAACAAACAAAAGGTAGGATCAGACCCACAAACACAGAAACTGGTGGTTGCCAGAGGGGAGGATGGGCAAAATGGGTGAAGGGGTGTGGGAGGTCCAGACTTCCAGGGATGAGTTAATTCACAGGAATAAAAGGCACAGCACAGGGAATATAGTCAATGATGCTGTAACAGCCTTGTATGGTGACAGGTGGTGGCTACACTGGTGGTGAGCACATAACCTTATAGAACAAAATCACCATGTTGTACACCTGAAACTAATGTAACCTGTGTGTGCCTCTACTCAAACAAACCAACAAAAAGAACCTAATACACATATCGAAATAAATATCCTATGTTATCCTGAAGGGCTACCAGGAGACATAAATGAAATTTACATGCACATACCCACATTCATATATTATGTAACTACAACGCAATGAATACCAGCTGCTTCTCCTCCTGCACAGGGAGGCTAGCTGACTGCCTATTTGTTTTACACAGATTTTGGTCAGGTTATATAGCCTTACCTGCTGCAAACTCCTCAATAGTCATCAGTGGAAACCGGATCAAGGACAGTGCTTTTCCTAGAACTTTCTGTTTGTTTCCAAAAGTCACAGGTAATTGTTGCCTTTGACATTCTGCTTCTGCCCATCGTACAACAGCTCCAAAAAGTCGACTTTCTCTAATACTAAGTGTGTCTCTTTCTAGAACTGCACAGAGTGTGTCTACAAGTAAAATACAAAAATAAATCAAATTAGGAATATTTTGCTCTTTAACAAAAAACACAAACAAGTTTATATTAAGTTTTCAAATTTCAACAAAAAACAGGCTAGATACTTAAAACTCTATACTTAAAAATATTAAAGAATGAAAAGAATTAAATGGCAAAGTTTTATTTAAAAAAATTGCCATAAGGTTAACATTCAACTTATTCCTTATTATACATGGAAACTTAGGTATAGCATCTCCTTGTATATTCATGCCATTTATTAAGCAAACTCAAATATCCAGAGTAAGATTAATAGTAAGTCTGTCAGAGAAAGCGGCTTCAAATTAGTAATATAAATGCATAAAGTCTACAGATAACCATGCATTCATTCCCTAAATATTCCTTATTAAGTACTTTTTTAAAAATAAAGATTTTATTCATTTATTCATGAGAGACACAGGGAAAGAGACAGAGACATAGGCAGAGGAAGAAGCAGGCTTCCTGCGGGGAGTCCAATGCAGGACTCAATCACAGGATCCCAGGATCATGGCCTGAGCCAAAGGCAGACACTCAGATGCCCCCTTCATTAAGCACTCTTTATGTGTCAGTCACCATTTTAGATGCTGAAGATATATCACTGAACAAAAAGTTAAAAATTCCTTGCCTTCATGGAGCTTATATTCTTTTTTTTTTTTTAAGATTTTATTTATTTATTCATAGAGACACAGGCAGAGACACAGGCAGAGACACAGGCAGAGAGAGAAGCAGGCTCCATGCAGGGAGCCCGACATGGGACTCGATCCCAGGTATCCAGGATCACATCCCGGGCTGCAGGCGGCGCTAAACCGCTGCACCACCGGGGCTGCCCTGGAGCTTATATTCTAATGGGGGGAAAACATTAAACATAAATAAATTTAGTATGTTAGAAAATAAGTATAGAACAAATAGCAGGGTAAGGAGAGTCATAAATGCAGTTTTGGTGGCTCATCTAAGACTTGTTTGGGGCGGGGATGGGGGGGCCATCAGCCAAACAGAGGCCTCGCGAGAGGCAGTGCTCCAGGACCGACCATGTGAAGGCCCTCACACGAAAGTGTGCCTGGCAACTCTGAGGACCAGCCAGTGTGGTTACAGTGCAGTGTGCAAGAGGGAGGCCAGTATGGCTAGAGTGCAGTGAGCAAGAAGGAAAAGTGGTAGGTGATGAGGCCAGAAATGGTTGGGGAAACGGCATATAATCCTATAGTACCCTATAGATCATTTGCCTTCTACTCTGAGTGGAAAGGGGAACAAACCTGTGGAAGATGTGGGGCTGTGACATTTTATGTTGTAAAACGATCACACTGGCAGCTGTGTTGAGAAGAGATCCTACCGGAGGTAAGCGTAGAGAGGAGACTGGTTAGCAGGCTCCTGCTCTGATCCAAGTCAGAGGTGAAGATGGCTGGGACCAGAAGGATGAGGTGATAAACACTCAGCTTTAGGATACGTTCTAAAGGATGACTCACTCTGATGTCCTCCGAGACTGAATATAGAGGGTGACGGGGGCAGAAAGGGGGTGTTGTGGGTCAAGGGTAATTCCTGGGCTTCTAGTCTAAGCAATGGATGGATGACAGTGGTGTCAACTGAGATAGGAAAGCCTACGGAGGAGGTTCTGGGGGATGGGGAGAGGTGAGATCTGGAGTTAAATTTGGGACATCTTAAGTTTGAACTCTCTGACATCCAAGTATAAATGTCATGCCCGAAACTCAGGCCCTCACTCAGAGTCCTTCTTTTACCAGAAGGCAAAATTAAAATCAGCTCAGCTTCTATAGTAGACCAGAACCAGAAGTCCAGAGAAGTGGCCTTATAGGCGAACAGACTAGAATAAAAAGACAGGCTGCAACCAAACAGGAGCAGAGAAGAGAGGAAATCTGTGAAAAGTAGATGGAGATGCCTGAAAAGCACTATAGTCAAGAGTCTTTTACACAAAGAGGAAGATTAAAAAATAAACACACAGGGGTGCCTGGGTGGCTCAGTCAGTTGAGTTCCGACCCTTGGTTTCAGCTCGGGTCATGATCTCAGGTTCAAGGGATCCAGCACTGAGTCAGGCTCTGCGCTCAAGAGGGAGTCGGCCTGAGGAACCCCCCCACCCCTGTCTCCCTCTACCCCTCCTCTCTCCTCTTGCCTCCCACCTCCATCCAAAATAAATCAATCTTTAAAAACAAAACAAAAAACCATACAAAAAAAAACCACTTTAGAGGCCTGAGGGCTTCACTATACCATAACTGATAGTCATAATAATGAGCACTAATAATTCTAAGATTCAAATAAAAATAAGGATGCCATACTTATATACAGCAGAAATCAATGAAGACATTAAATCTACTTAAATTACCCAGTATTACACATCTAAGAAAATTTTATTTATTTACTTAAGATTTTATTTATTCATGAGAGATATAGAGAGAGACCCAGGCAGAGATAGAAGCAGACTCCCTGCAGACAGCCCAATGCAGGACTCAATCCCAGAATCCCGGGATCATGACCTGAGTCAAAGGCAGACAGTCAACCACTGAGACACCCAGGTGCCCCTAAGAAAATTTTATTAAAAAAAAATTGTATTCCATAATGGTCTATACATTCATACTACAACCAAATATTTGGACAATATCAAACCACAGCTATCATTCCAGCAAAGATGTCTCAGTCCTCAGAACACAGTAGAGGCTCAACAATATGTTAAAAATGAATGTTATATGTAATTTTTTAAATCACTTTTTTCCTTCTCTTGTAGCTGAGCAAATGAATATAAACTAAGGCTCCAAAAACTTTTTCACAGGTAAATGAATGTAAACCAATATACCTTAATACTTGTAGGATTAGGACTATCCACTGACCAAAATTAATCATTCAATGGAAAAACAGACAACCTTGGATCTACACATCTCTATTCTATATGCTAATAAACTTTGGTAAAGATAAACACAAACTTAAAATATCAGCAGGGGATATAAAAAGCATATTATACTACCTTTGGCATAATGTAAATTCGCTTTTTTCCTATCATCATGACATTATCTTCTTCCTTTAGCAAAAAAGCTCTGAGAGAGAAACTGTGTATTTCTGCTTGGAAAAATAGTAAGCACATCCCTCCAGAACATATATTCAAATCCCAGAGGAGAAAAAAACTTTCCCAAAATCTAAAACTATAAATCTGTAAGGGCTCCTGAAGCCTGGCCCAGCTTTCTCTCAACTCTTGGACTTCTCTTTCAACCCCAATTTTTTTTTGTTAAGATTTTATTTATTTATCCATGAGAGACAGAGAGAGAGAGGCAGAGACACAGAGGAGAAGCAGGCTCCCTGCAGGGAGCCCGACGTCAGAATCCATTCCGGGACTCCAGGATCATGCCCTGGGCGGAAGGCAGGCACCAAACTGACAAGCCACCCAGGGATCCCCCTCAACCCCAATTTTTAACAAGCACATAAAAAATATTTTTATTTATTTATTCATAAGAGGCACAGAGACACAGATATATGGAGGGAGAAGCAGGCTCCTTACAGGAAACCTGATGCAGAACTCAATCCCTGGACCCAGGATCACGCCCTGAACTGAAGGCAGACGCTCAACCGCTGAGACACCCAAGCATCCCAACAAGTGCATTTGAGGCAAACTAGACTATGATGTGGAAAACACACATAGGTCTCCTATTGGCAGCTGAGAGCCCAATAAAGATAATAAAAACCTCTAAGATTATGTTTTGTGAAGATTTTAACATAAGTAACTGTGAGTCAAATCAACAAATATTTGGAGAGCACTGACCCTGTACTAGGCACCTACTTCAAGAATCCCAGGTTCCAAAGGCACCATGCCTGACCTGGGGGCCATTTACAAAACAGTTTCCAGGAGAAAGTCATCTACCTACAAGCAGTATTTCAAACACAAACTGAAGCACAAATGGAGTACCTAGTAACCCCTTAAGGGGGAGAAAATTAGGATTAAGTACTGTTTCCTTAGCAATGTGGGCAGTGCTTGGGCTCTCAAACATCCAGTCAATGGCCTGTTATGTACACTGGGGAGGAATCCAGCCCCTGCCCTTCAGGATCATTAATGCAGAACGAGTATAAATCCTTCCCCATATACTGTGCAACAGACAGGCACACTATGAGATGTTATGACAGAAAATGCTAAACATCAAGGAAGAGGGTGGGACGTCAGTGCTTAAGAAAGGAGTCACTGCAGAAGTATAATTTGAGCCAAGATGTTAAGACTGAATGAGAACTAGCCAAGGTGGAAAGGAAAGGCAACATTCTAGACACAGACCAGTTGGTCAGCAAATATTAACTGAACAGGTACTAGGTTCTATTGTCTTCAGTGCTAGAGATACAGTGGTAAACAAGACAAAGTCCCTGCCTTCAAAGAATTTACAATCAGGAGTGCCTGGCTGGCTCCGTTAGTAATCACAGGACTCTGGATCTTGGGGTTGTAGTTCAAGCCCCATGATGGGTGTAGAGATTACTGAGAAAGTCTTAAAAAAATTTTACAGTCTAGGTGGGGGAGGTAGACAATCATCATAAACACACATAAACAAACACCTATTTAAGAATTTCAAATAGTGAAAGGTATTATGAGGAAATCAGAGTAACAGCACAGGGATGTTTAGGGGAACGTGGTATCTACTTTTATGGTATCCACTTTTAAGGTCCGAGATGGCCTGTCTCAGGTCTCATTTAACTTGGTATCAGAATAATTAAGAGGAGGAAGACACATGCAGATTCAGGGGAACAGTAAACACAAAGGTTTAAAGATAAATAACCCTGGCCAGTGTGTGTGAAGAGCAGGGATTGATGAGGAGGAGGGCAGGGGACTAGGTCAGGTGTAGACAGAGGACGCAGTGAGTGCTGCTTTTCTTCCTCATGACCATCCTCTGAAGGTATTCCTCTGAAGGTATGTGGGATCGTGTGACTGAATTCAAGACAGTAAAGAGCGAAAAGCGGGTGCCACTTCAAGGCCAAAGCTCTCAAAATGGGGGTGTTTTCCCTGCCATACTCTTTCCTGTCTGCCAGTAAGACAGATGATAAGAAACAATCATAGATACCTAATATACATTTTGTGTTCATCATGACGAAGAGATACTTAAGGTCACAGGCCTAGATCAGCTCTCCCTACTCTCCTCCAATAATAAAAGTCACACTCCTCAGCCTGTCCTGTGCAGCCAGGCTTTAACCTGCGCACACCCCCACCTCTTACACCCACTTCTTCCTGGGATCCACCTGCTTCTCATGCCCTCCCCTCTTCGTTATCCAAATACTACCCATTCTTTACGGCCCAGATCAGAATCTCCCTTGTCAAGACTTTCTTTTTTTTTTTTTTTAAAGACTTTATTTATTCATGAGACACACACACACACACACAGAGAGAGAGAGGCAGAGACACAGGCAGAGGGAGAAGCAGGCTTCATGCAGGAAGCCTGATGTGGGACTCGATCCCGAGTCTCCAGGATCACGCCCTGGGCTGAAGGCGGCGCTAAACCGCTGAGCCACCCTGGCTGCCCTGTCAAGACTTTCTTAATGCTACTCAATCTGAGGTAATATTTCCATGTTTTGGATTTGCATAGTAATTATTTTCTATATATTTAGCTCAAAAAAAGCAAAATCACATTTTGCTGTATGCTATCCAGAATTTTCTATTAGTGTCTTAACACTTAACTTTCAATATGTGTTTCTTGATTCTCTAATAAGATCATAGTTTCCTTAAAAAAATCACATCTTACTCTCTGTATTTCTTAAAAGACCCTCCTATCCATGCACATGGTATATAATCAATGAATTTGACATTTTTTAAAAGGTGATAAAGTAGTTATGACTTTTAGGAATATGTCACCAAAATAAAGAAAGCAAAACTCTTAGAGATAGACTTACCAAATTTGGAAAAGCCACCACTTTATAATAACAGCCTGTCCAAAAAAAAAAAAAAAAACAACAGCCTGTCCAGCAGAAAGGCTGACTAGTAAGGCATTACTGCACTTAGGTGGCATAACCTGAACACTGGTGGACTTACCTATATCAATGTCAGTAAAGCCCTCTGCGCTTATTGCATCCATCGTGCTTTTGTCTATTGTGTCTAGACAAAGACTAGCAAGCTGAGGTTCATCAAACAATCGAGCCTAAACATACAAAAAGACAGTTATTTTACTTTCATAGTTATTTTACTTTCAGACTATACATATTCAAAGTTAATACTGTAAAGAGTTATAATTACTAATCATGTAAAAACACCTACTTAACCATTTTAATGTGTATATATTCTCCATTCCACATCAGAAATGAAAAGGTAAAAGCACAGATGTCCTGCTAACAACAAATTCACATTACCACTGATAACTTTGTTATTTTTCTTACCATATGCTCATACACACACACACACACACACACACACACACACAGCCTGGTTTCTTATACATTATTTTGATCCTTAACAAACACTCTAGGTTAGATAAGGCAGACATTATTATCCCATTTTCCAGAAAGGTGTGCTGACTTGACTAATATGATCTAACTAGTTGTGTTGTGAAGCCATTACTTAAATGCAAGTTTTAGGATATTTTCACTAAACGATATCAATTGTCACACATACCAGTACAAACATTAGATTTTTTTTTCCATTTTCTGTCTTGACTAGGGGGGAGAGAATGATGTACAAGAATTTTAGAGTACGAAAGTTCTGGGGATCCTGGGTGGCGCAGTGGTTTGGCGCTTGCCTTTGGCCCAGGGCGCGATCCTGGAGACCCGGGATCAAATCCCACGTCAGGCTCCCGGTGCATGGAACCTGCTTCTCCCTCTGCCTATGTCTCTGCCTCTCTCTCTCTATCTCTCTGTGACTATCATAAATAAATAAAAATTAAAAAAAAAAAACAAAAAAAAACAAAAACAAAACCGAAAGTTCTGGGTACCTAGGCCCAGGAACAGAAAAGCAAATAGTCACAGGACAGAATATTCTACAAGGAGAGTGATCTACAACCATACACAATAATATGAATGAATCTCACAAACATGATAAGCAAAAACCATAGTAGAAATTGAGCAAAAATATACCGTAGGATTGGCAATAAAGCTAATCTAGGCTTTAAGAAGTCAGAAGTCAAGCTTATAATATGTGATTAATCAGGATGCATACTATAATTTAAAAAAAAAAGTTTAGGGGCAACTGGGTGGCTCAGTTAAGTGTCTGACTCTTGATTCTGGCATAAGACATGTTATCAGGGTTGTGAGACTGAGTCCCACAGTGCACTCCATGCTGGGCATGGAGCCTGCTTAAGATTCTCTCTCTCCCTATCCCACTGCCCAATCAGTGAACCAGTGCCCTGGTTCACTCATTCTTCAAAATAAACAAAAACAAGTTTAAACCCAGGCATGGAGGAAAGGGGTAGAGAACCCAACTTCAAATGAGATTTAAAAAACCATAACACTGGGGGTGCCTGGGTGGCTTAGTCAGTTGACTGTCTGCCTTCAGCTCAAGTCACGATCCCAGTGTTTTGGGATGGTGCCCTTTTTCAGGCTCTTTGCTCAGCAGGGAGGTCTGCTTCTCCCTCTCCCTCTGCTGTTCCCCCTGCTTGTGCTCTCCATTAAATAAGTAAATAAAACCTTGTTTTATAAATAAATAAATACATACATACATACATACATACATACATACATACCCGTAACACGCTGAAAAAACATGCAATGATAGGTATGCCAATGACCAAGCTTTCACACTGGCCTAGGATCAGGTCTATTTCCATTTAATAGTATGGACAAAGACAAAATGCACAGAAGTATTCACACTACGTCATACAGAAACCTGCTGAGAATACTACCAATTAATTAACCATTACTTGGCCTGGCTGAGGACTCTTCATTTACTTGTGAAGGAAATTCATTTGCAAGGGATTCAGTAACTCAGATGCTACTGAACAAATAATAAATGTCCCTAAACTATACAGTTATCTTATGTATTATGGGGGAGAGATGAGATGTTAATAAACATACTAGATTAAATTTAAAACAGATATATATAGGGGCACCTGGGTGACTCAGTTAAATATCTGACTTGACTTTGGCTCAGGTTATGATCTCAAGATTGTGAGATCATGCCCCACATCAAGCTCCACACTCAGTGGGGAGTCTGCCTGAGATTCATCTTCCTCTACCACCACCCTCCTGCTTGCTCTGTCCCTCTAAAATAAATAAATAAAATCTTTATAAAAAAATAAAATAGGGATGCCTAGCTGGCTCAGTCGGTGAAGTGTCTGCCTTCAGCTCAGGTCATGGGTTCTGGGATTGAGTCCTATATCAGGCTCCCTGTTCAACTGAGAGTCTGCTTCTCCCTCTACCCTCCCCTCCCCACTCATGTTCTCTCTCTAGCTAACTCTGCTCTCTCTCAAATAAATAATCTTTTAAATAAAAAATATATATTATACATGATATATACTTGCATACATAAAGTATGTATTTTAAGTCAGTATTTCTTAAAATTATGGAATACTCAAATATGTTTGAAAATGCTCTTCTTAGATTATACGTTGGGCTTATATTAATTTGTTTAGTCAAATTTTTCCACAAAAAATATATCACCTGTATTTAGTAGGCTAAAATTAACTCTATTCCTTGTAATTTTAAACTTTTAAAATTGAGAAATAATTTCAAAAAAAAAATTTCAAATTTACAGAAAAGCTGCAAGTGAAAAGAACACCCATATCTCCTTTACCCAGATTTACCCACCTAAATATTATTTACCTAACATTTTGCCTCTATTTTATCATGTGCACTCTCTCTATATACATACATATAGGCACACACACCCGTTTTATATATTTATGAAAGGGATAATGACATGTAAGAAAATAGGTAACGTATAGTGTCTGTGTATTTGAATAAACTATTCAGTAATATATTATACACATCGTTGTCCTTACTCTTAAATACCTCAGTATGCATTTCCTAAGAATCAGAATATTCTTATAACCCACAGTAATTAACTTTATTAAATAACCATATAATATTTTTATCTAATCTACTATATTTCAATTTTGCCAACTGACCCAACATTGTTTGAGGCAGAAATAGGGATGCCTGGATGGCTAAGTGGTTGAGCATCTACTTTCAGCTCAGGGAGTGATCCCTGAGACCCGGGATCAAGTCCTACATCACGCTTCCCACGGGGAGTCTGCTTCTCCCTCTGCCTATGTCTCTGCCTCTCTGTGTCTCTCATGAATAAATAAAAATTAAAAAATCTTTAAAAAGAGTGAGGGCAGCCCAGGTGGCTCAGTGGGTTGGTGCTGCCTTCAGCCCAGGGCCTGATCCTGGAGACCCGGGATCAAGTCCCACATCGGGCTCCCTGCATGGAGCCTGCTTCTCCCTCTGCCTGTGCCTCTGCCTCTCTCTCTCTCGACTAAATAAATAAAATATTTTTAAAAATAAAAAATAAAAAGAAAGAGTGAACAAATATGCACGTGCATACAAACAGGGAGATGGGGTAAAGGGAGAGAGAGAAACAAACCTAAGCAGACTCCACGCTGAGAGCAGAGATGACCTGGCACTCGATTTCATGACCCTGAGATCATGATCTGAGCCAAAAACCAAGAGTCAGTCACTTAACTAACTGCACCACCCAGGCAACCCTGGACTCGGTGTTTTTTGTAACACATTTCCTTTTGGAACAGGATCCAATCTAGGATCATAGTTCATGCATTTTTAAAATATGAAAAGTACACTTTCATCAAGTGAAATTCTAATATCAGTAAGTATTTTAATGGGCCAACTCAATTATATTTTTAGTGTTCACACAAAACTGTATTTTTTCATTCCAGGAAAAACAGTTTAAAAAAAAACAAAAACAGTTTTTATAAAAATTGTTAATTATTCAGAATACAATATCTCAGGTACTCCTCCTCAGATTACACAGGCAATATCAAGTTTCCTATGAAATCTATTGCTGCTACTTAAGAGTAAAATAAAATACATTTTTCTCAAAATTTAGTTTGAGTCTGGCATTATCTCTGAAAAAATATCACTATGATTGTATTACTTCATAAAAAGTGTTTTTTCCCTGTATAATTCATGATGGTACAGCATACTAGCCTTTTGTTTTAGTGTGAGGCTGGCATCGGTCCTCTCAAGTAAATGAACATGTTCAGTTCAAATGACTCACTTGGCAGGAATAAGTGGTTCACATGACAATCTGTGGGCTGATTCACATGACCCCACCAATGGAAAAATGTAAAATAATACTGGGTTCCCTGACCAACAAGGCACTAAAAGGTTCCTTTTTGTTCTCATGGTGACATCTGTTAACCCTTACTACTCAAAGTGTGGTCCAGAAGCACTGGCATCATCTGAAAGCCCATGAGAAATGTCTTGGACCTGCTGAACTGTGTACTTTATCATAGTTTAATTTATTGGTTTCCGAATTTTTCAATAAACTTTTAAATTAATTAAGTGATCCTCTCCACATACCTTAAAACCGTTGGACAATAAAGAATCTTTTAAATATCAATTTCCATATTAGATTTTCATCACAAATTCAAAAGAGGAAAAAATGCAGAAAGACACTGCCTAATAGTTCTAGGACCTTGGTCAAATTATTTCACGTCTCTCTACTTCTATTTCCTTATCTATAAAATCGGGACAATAAGAAAACTTTCACCCAGAACACTTATGCCTCCCAAAGTTACTACAGAAGATTAAATGAACGAATAAACACAAAGTGCTGGCACATAATCATCACTCAGTACATTCTGCTATTATCACCACCATCAGTAGCACCACACCTTAACAACAACTGGCTGAACATTGGGATCTTAGTTTTACCACTTGCTGTCTAACGTTAAGTAAGGTATTTCCCTAAGCTTCCATTTCCTCATCTTTAAAACAGGTAAAACAGTAAATAACATCCCAGAGTTGTAATGCAGAGTAAATGTTGGTAATACATGTAAAGCGACTAGCTTAGTGTCAGGCATACTATATGCAGACATGGGGTTCTGTGATTATGTCCAAGAGGTGACATTAGCATGTTTTTCTCCCATTACTACAAATGGCAAAAGATGGATGATGGCAAAAGATGGGGGAAAAAACCTCAACAACACAAAGTGCCATCAGACATTCTCCGTCTGACAGAACAGACGCAGGGCGGAAAACCTGAGCTCTGGGCTCTGGCCCCAGCTAGCCTGTTGTAAGCCTTTATGCAGGTAGTTAGCCCAGGTTTTAGTTTTACCACTTGGAAAATGAAAGGGTTGAGCTAGGGGACATCTGTGACTGGTTCCAGTACAAATAGTCAACAGGATTCCAAATTATCAGCCTTAGAACTTTTTCTTCTCATTTTAACTTGCTTACCTCTGTATAGACCCTATCTCCAAATAAGATCACAGTCTGACGTACTGGGAATTAGGATTTTAACACATACATTTTGGAGACACAATTCAACCCTTAACACATGGCTATAGGCTAGCTTAGAATTTTTTTTTTAAGATTTTATTTATTTATTCATAGAGACAGAGAGAGAGAGAGAGAGAGAGAGAGAGAGAGAGGCAGAGACACAGGCAGAGGGAGAAGCAGGCTCCATGCAGGGAGCCTGACGTGGGACTTGATCCTGGGACTCCAGGATCACACCCCAGGCTGCAGGCAGCGCTAAACCACTGCCCCACTGGGGCTGCCCTAGCTTAGAATTTTTAAAACAATTTGTATAAGGGCATTATAACTTTGTCTAAAAAGAAAAATAGTGATTTATTTATATCCAAAGTACAAAGCTCAGATTACAGGCATTTAATAAATGCCAAGTAATATGGTAAAGACTGCGTAATAGTTCCATAGATGTGTTCAGTTTGTAAAAATCCATCAGATTGTGTACTTACGATAATGTGTACTTCTCTATACGTACACTGTATTTAGTGAAAACTTTTAAATATTAGAGAAAGAACATTCCATATAAACCTTAAATTCTCACTCCTCCGAGCTTCCAGGTTAAGTCCAAAGATAGTATATGTTACAACTCTTCTGGACTTGAAACCTCAATCTTTATTCCAGACCCAACAAAAATTGAGATCGAAGATGTCTAGAAAATCTCATGCTATCATACTCTCAATCCTACCAGGCACAACACTGGATCCTAATTCCAACTCCAATTGTACACAACTGTATAGCTCTGTGTCACAACAGCCTACTTACATAAGGCTTCACTATTTTCACCTATATGGTAATGTATTAACTCTAATTTTCTTTTCTGTTCTAAAAGCATATGAATCTAATATATTTCCCTGAATGGTACTATAAAAATAATTACACACACTTTAATGATGTACAATTCTCCAGGAAATATGTTAATACTCATATGCAGTTATATACAATTTTTAAAACTACGATGATACACACCTTAGCTATATTTACTTACCTGAGTAAGTAACATAAAGGCATTATCTGCCCTAAGATGTTTTGTGAGAAATTCCACACAATGTGCTTCCAGGGCTGGGACTGCATATTTTTTAGCAGTGTAAAGAGTGGTCATAACGGTCTCTGGGCCAATCTGAACTTCATCAGAATATAGAAATCTGGAAAGCAAATGGGAAAGTATAGAAATAGCCGTTAATAATTTAGATAAGCAATCCATCAGAGTGAAACCTGAGAAATATTTTAAAAGATAATGAGCAAACTGAAAAACAACCTGAAATTGATATCAGACTTTGCAGGGCTACAGGGCATCTGCACATATATCCTTTCATATTTATGCTTACTCAATCCTGAGAGATGGGTAGTGTCCCCATTTTACCGACAGAACTGAAGACCACAAGACAGACCCATCTCTCTTAAGCAAAATTTTCAGAGGTCTTTTGGCACCCAACAGCAGCTTAGGACAGCAGTGATTCACTTACTTCTCTTCAAAGAATGTTCATTTAAACAAATCTACAGATAGCTGAAGTTTCCATTTCTAGATGTCAAAACAGTCATTTATTTGCTGATAATGGTATTCTGGGCATCTTTCAACCTTTCATTGTTATTCTCAAATTAGCATAATACCCAAAGACTAGGGATCCCTGGGTGGCGCAGCGGTTTGGCGCCTGCCTTTGGCCCAGGGCGCAATCCTGGAGACCCAGGATCGAGTCCCATGTCGGGCTCCCGGTGCATGGAGCCTGCTTCTCCCTCTGCCTATGTCTCTGCCTCTCTCTCTCTCTCTGTGTGTGTGTGACTATCATAAATAAATAAATAAATAAATAAATAAATAAATAAATAAATAAATAAGAAATACCCAAAGACTAGCAAATTGGGTCTTTGGAGGAATAAAACAATTTAATAATATCTTAAATGACCCATGTGCTTTTGGGTATTAGGTTTGTGCTTTTTGGGTATTTCGGTCCAATTTTCCCTCAGAATACTACCCGTCCAATACTGCCTCCTCCCAGTGAGCTGCTTCTAACTGCTCACTAGATAGATCAGCGGCATAGAACTGCAAATGAGGTATAAGATGCTTCAGGGAAAGCCTGAGCAGTTCTAGTTGAATTATCCTGGAGCTTCTGCATATCAATTTTAGGCCTTTTTTGTGGCTCTTCAGAGACCCTGTGTGTACTGCTCAGTTCTCAACTATATGCAGGAGAGCCAAGGGAGGTGAATGGCATGAAGAACATGAATCGCATTCTGCTTGGCACCTAGGTGGCTCAGTTGGTTGAGCATCCCTCTCTGATCTCAGGGTAGTGAGATCCAGCCCTGCACTGGGCTCTGTGCTCAGAGGGGAGTCTGCTTGGGATTCTGGCTCTCTGTCTGCCCCTCCCCCTGCTAATGCACACACTCTCTAAAATAAACAAATCTTTCTAAAAATGGCGTTTTTGTGATACTAAAAACACTACTTATTATATGTATATTCCTAGGACCCAAGTCATAAAATAAGAAAACCCATTAACATCTTTCAAATCCTTTTTTACACTGAAGGGAGTGAAGAAAGAAGTTCTATTTCCTGTTGCTACCCTCTACCTTTCAACTTCCTCTTCTCTCATTCCTGTGTTCATTACCACCATACAAGAAACCCTGGCCCATTACATCCCCCAACCTGTTGCCCTAACCAGAAGCCTGTGCTCCTCGAATAACATCACTGAGCTTACAACTCTCTAGTGGAGAACGCTCATTCTCATTCTCCTCTTTAGCTCAGCCTTCGACATGAGGCTTGCTGATTTTCAGGATCACACCGTTTTATTTATTTATTTTTTATTTTTATTTATTTATTTATTTATTTTTATTTATGATAGTCAGAGAGAGAGAGAGAGAGAGAGAGAGAGAGGCAGAGACACAGGCAGAGACACAGGCAGAGGGAGAAGCAGGCTCCATGCACCGGGAGCCTGATGTGGGATTCGATCCCGGGTCTCCAGGATTGCGCCCTGGGCCAAAGGCAGGCGCCAAACTGCTGCACCACCCAGGGATCCCGATCACACCATTTTAAAACTTTTTTTTCCCCAAAACCTTTTAGAAACCTAAGTCAACCATCTGTATTGCCCTCACAATATTTACCCTAAAGTTATATGCTACACTTTGTGATGAGTACAGGGAATTAAAAACCAAGTAAGGCACAGTCACTTGTAGTCAGGGGGAGGGAGATGAACAAAAAGGAGAGAGAGAAAAATCAGCGTTTGTTGAGTGCATACCCTGTGAGACGCCAATCCATTTAATCTTTCCATGAGGAAGGCAGGTGCTGTTACCTGCATGAAGGTGGTGGGAAAAACACAAAGCTGACTACCATGGAACACACCATTTCTGGGCCTGGGCTGTCTCCAGGGCTAGCCTGGCAAGCCAGCCAGGTGAGGGCTGTTTTCACCTTTGTGGTCTCAGGAAAAGATGGCTCAGGTTTGAGTCTGTCCCCTCACTGCCAGCTCTGTGACTTTAAACAAGCTATCATCCTTATATTCCTTTCTGAAACGACAGTAACAGTATCTCCATCATGCTTTCTTGGAGATTAGTATAAACTGAAATATATAAAGTATTTGAAATAGCGCCTGACAAATACTTAGCCACAGCAAGTGTTAGCTGCTTATTTTTATATTGCTTCATTTTTTTTTCCTATTTTCCTCTATGTTTCAGATGTCTGTGCTGTCATCTTCTGGCCTTCTATTCCCACCCCGCCCCCGCCCAGCAATACATGCACACATTTCTAAGAATTCTTGTTGCTTTCTTAGTCATTCCTTTTTTTTTTCTCCGCAGCACCATGTCTCAGTTTCATGGGTGCAAAAAATGTTCTCAAGTCTCCAAGATGATATTAACCAAGTTTTTAAGGTTCCTTTCTGTTCCCTGAATTATCTGTTTCCTCCAGGACCAGCTACTCTTGGTCTTTGTCTTCAAGTTCCCATTCCCCTCATATGCTAAATGATCAATGGTTGTCTCCAGTTCGTTATTCCAGTAGCTGGTCTTGGTTTTCTTTGCCGCTGTGTAGATGGGCCTGTTTTCCAGCTAAACCATCCCTAAAATGGACAGGCTGGCTGGGAGCTCTGTGTATGTGGGAGGCTTGCTGACTGGTACCTAGGGTGAGAATAGGAAACCACTCTCTAGGTCAGGGACTCTTAATGCCATGACTCTATAGTCCCTAAGCTCTCCCAGACAGTTTGTTCAGCTTATTCAAAGAGGAGCCTGTCAGGAGGAAGTCATGAGAGTTAGTCTGCAAGAGCTGGGTGAGGATGCAATATAAAAGCAAGCTTTCAATTCCCACGTTTTAGCTCCGCCTTCTCATCTCACCCACCTCCCTACAAGCCTGGCCTAGAACCTGAGGGGCAGGGGTTTCTTCCAGGGAAGACAGCTCCCACCTCCACTACCGTTCACGGTTCATGTTCACGGAGCCCTGGATTCTGTCCCTCTCACCCCCCCCCATCCACCCTTGCCATCATCCCCTCCCTCCCATCATCAACACTCTCAGGGACTCTATCCCTCTTTCACACTGCTGGCTTCGTGCCCATCTCCCTTTCCCCCTTCATTCTTTTGGATTTATTCTTTTGTATTTTCTTAGTCACTTAAATTGGGAGAGAAGGCTTACTGCATGCTCAGGTCCCTTCTTGAATTAGAAACCTATGACATCTTCATTTAAAGGGCAAAGTAGGAAGAATCTTTATATCTGCCTTCATTTTTTTTTCAGGCAAAAATCACTAGAGTAATAAAGAGCAGAAATGTGGGGCCTTTATCACCATTTGCCTTTGTACGTGAGTAGACGAGATGGCAAGCACCACAAAGTTGAAGTATGTGGTTCTACAAGCATCTGGGAGCTTTGTCAGAGAGATCTGCAAAAACGTCCTAGAGAAATTTCTTCTTAAAATACGACTAAACAATGACAAGAGAGTGGGAAGAAAATGACAGGAACAAGAGAGAATGGGTTTTTAAATTATTATATTTGAGATACACACACACACACCCCTCCCATTCAAACTGCTTTTATTAAGCTACACTTTGGTAATATACCTTTGGTTTATATCAAGGGATTTTTTTAAAAGATTTTATTTATTTATTCATGAGTGGCAGAGAAAGGCAGAGACATAGGCAGAGGGAGAAGTAGGTACCCCGCAGGGAGCCCGATACAGGACTCGATCCCAGGACCCTGGGATCATGACCTGAGCCACAGGCAAAGACTTAACTGACTGAGCCACCCAGGTGCCCCCCACATTCACTTTTAATGTGGAAATAGACTACTTAAAAATCCAGGAACCATCTTGATTCATATTTTACTTATATGTTTTCTTACATTCTATTAAAATTTCTATAATAAAAAATAAGCCAAAGTTTACAAAATATAACTAAAAATTAATCATATTACCACAATTCTTTTTTTTTTTTTTTTAAGGTTTATGCATTCATTTGAGAGAGGGGGAGAGAGAGAGCGTATGGCCTGGAGAAGCAGAGGAAGATGGAGATAGAGAACCCCAAGCAGACTCCCCACCGAGCGTGGAGCCCAAAGCACGAGCTGATCCCAAGACCCTGAGATCACACAACCTGAGCTGAAATCAAGAAGCAGGTGCTTAACCAACTGAGCCACCCAGGCACCCCAATTCTTTGCATTTTAAAATGCACATTTCAGCCTTCATTTACTACATTTAAGGACAGGAGCACAAGAGAAATTATGCCATTAAACTATTCCTATTCCCCTCACACCAAAGACTAATGGTTTTCTAAAAGATAAAATTTAGATTATAATTAAGCAAAAATTTTTAAAAACTACGGTGAAAACTTCACTTTAAATAAGAAAAGCCACAAGATCACACATAAGAACCTTTTTATCACTACTGACTCATTCATTTTACTCAAAAACGTGTACTGAGCAACTATATAATACCAGGCACTGGGATGCCTGGGTGGCTCAGCGGTTGAGCATCTGCCTTCAGCTCAGGACGTGATCCCAGAGTCCCAGGATCAAGTCCCACATCAGGCTCCCTGCGTGGGCCCTGTTTCTCCCTCTGCCAGTGTCTTAGCCTCTTTCTCTCTGTGTCTCTCATGAATAAATAAATAAAATCCTTAAAAAAAAAATACTGGGCACTGTGACAGGTCTGAGAAATACAAACATGGGTAAGATAGCTCTGCCCACAGGGCTAGC